GTGATTTTGCCAGAACTTAATGCTTTTTTTTCCTGAGTTGGTTTCTACTGGAAACTTAAAAAAAAAAAAAAAAAAGTGATAGAGGAGTTGGTGTGCATGTACGGTGCCCCTTGATAGAACTCCATGATACTGCATGAAAGCAGGCCTGAATCCAAGGTGTGTCCACCTTGTCCTTACCTTTTTGGAAGCTAGTCCATGTTTAAACTATCTTTTCTTTATCAAATGTGTATTAGAAAGTTATATACAAAAGTAATTAATACTCTCTATAAATGTGTTATTTCACACTTTTTGTTACATTTTATAACACATGCAATTTTCACTAAATATGAAGCACAGATATAAATAAATGCTTCTGAGCAAATTACTAAGTAGAAGTTGAACAGTGAGTTTGTCAACATAGGATGTGGTGTCTGTATGGATCAATTAAATAAGTGCTGTAATTGTGATTTTCTATAACAATTGTGTAACTAAATGACATGATAATCAACTATATGAATACGTATACCAAATTATTTTGAAAGATATATGGAGGATGTGCGAGGATATTTCTCATCTTAATTCAGGATAGGACTGGCTAATGGGAACATGTATGACTTCTGCAGAAAACTTGCTTATGGTTTTATTCACTCTGAGAAGCACCAGTTCTGGTGAAATGGAGAAGAAATGATAGAGTTACTAAAGAAACATTGATGCATTACAGCATTTGAAGAAAGCGAAAGTAGGTGAATAATTATGGACTAAATCTGAAATGCTGCATAGTAAATATTGCTTGTTCATTCAAGCTGAGTGAACTGCTGTCTAGCAGAGATCTCACAGTTGTGCACCTGTAGTAACAGTGCAAATATTGAGTGTATCACTGCAGTAAAATTAATACACCCACAGAAAACGTGGCTGGATAGATTTCTATAGGAAAGCTCCTTTTTTCTCCCCTCTTTGTAATAGTGCCATTTAATTTCTTTATGTTGACAAGTGAGGGAGGAATGGCAGGAAAAGCAGTCTTATCAAATGGAATAGTGTCAACATTGCCTCCTTTATTTTGGGTTTTAATAGCATCCTTATTGTATAGCTTGTCACTAGCGTTTTCAGTAGAAACAAAAATAATTTTCTTAATGTGGTTTATGATCTTGGGGTGACTTTAAGTTGATACTTTTGTTGTTGTTGTGCACTTTTCCGAGAAGCTGATGACCATCTATGTCTGAGATTCATTGAGAGGATGTAAGGCTCCTCTGTTGTCTTCAATGATGTCAAAACCTGTATTTCTTTTATTCCAGCATTAACTAACGTACATATCTTTTCCATTCTTTATACTGAAATTTTATCCTGAAATCTTCAAAGCTTTTGCATTGCTGAAGAAGCTTCAGCTTCCCCCAGCCAAATCTTTCACTTTAATTCTTTAATGGCAACATTCAAATAAGGCATGATGCATTTGCTGCTGGTATATTAGAAGACGAAATTGCACAGGTAATCTTGAGGCAAAAAGAGGCAGACTTTGTAAGGGAGGTCTCCAAGTTAAAGTGCTACTCCAGTCCATTGATCTGCAGAGAACAAGAGGGCTGTATTTTCCATTTTTTTTAAATCCAAGTGTGATAATGCTTTGTTTCATTTTGCTTCTGCTGACTTTTCTTTGAAAGGACTGATGCTGGAAGTTGAAATTCAAAACATCAAAGCCATTTATGATTTTGAAAATAGTCATACATCTGTACTCAGTCTGTCTTGATTTATCCAAGGGTGTTGGTTCATGTTTTTTTTGTTAGTTATTTCTTTGTTTCAACATTTTAAGGTTATTCAGGTCTTTTGAAAGAACTTGCCTGAGTTTATTTTTGGCTGTGCATCTAGGCATCTGAGATTTCTGGATAATGTGACTAGACCGGTGTGGTCTGGGAGCAGAAGAACTAGGAGTACTATCTGTGAAGAAAACAGTGCCAGTAGCCATGGTCTGGGAGCCTCTGAGAATGGCAGCATGTGTCCCTAGTAGCACTTGGCAGGAGGAGAGAGGAATTCTGTCAACACTGTGCAGTTCTGAGTCGCTGCAGTTTGAATTAAATGTCTAGAAGCTAATGTGTAGGCATAGCAGGTAATGGACTAGTAGTGACTTGATTACATTATATGGGCAGGATTCAACGTTTGGAGCATCTTACTTCTCTAGTTTGACCCAAGGTTTCACTCTGTTTTAATAATCCAAGATTGAGGTAGCAAAGGCAGAGTTTGACTTTAGCATTCATATCCAGATAAATTTCTTATCCAGGTATAGGACTTAAAAAACAATCCTCTGCTGTTATATCTATACATCCAGCACAGCCCTATTTTGTGTAGCACAAACATTCCCTTATTTTATGAACCCAGGGTTTATTTGATCTGATAGAAAAATGAAACAAAAATACCACTGCCACTTCTTTTTACAGAAATAGAAAATTCAGGATTTAAAACAAATAAAAAATTACACCAAGTAATTTCTTTGTAATGAGACAGCTGGTGGTTCCAGAGGTCTTAATGTAATGGAAAACCAAATATATGTATTCTCAGAAATTGGGTGATATTTTATGATATGCTTGTCTAGTGTCAGAAAAATGCGGAAGTCTGAATAAAAACTAAAATTGTATTTGTCTGCATTTTTATGGAATTAAATAAATTTACTTAATTGTGGAAGCAGCTGGCCACACAAACCACAGCGTGTATTGATGCTCCATCGATCCGAAGCATTTATGTTATTGCAAGCATTTGTGTAGGTTACTATGAATAAACATAAATACTGATTTGTATGTGTTGCCCTTCCACTGACACAGAGATATATTACCTTACTTTGGGAGTCTGTACACCCTTCTACTTTGCATAGATGTCTAAAGGAGATGCAGGCCACCCTTCTTTGGAGAGACAGTTTAGAGGAGACAAAAAGGTCTTTGTGCAGTTTTAGTTTAGTCTCAGTGTAAGTTGGACACAAATTAGTCTTGGAGGTTTGATTCTCTGCACTATGAGGAATCATACTTTCCCAACAAGACAACAGAGAATTTTTGTGCTTTTACTGTTTGCATTTCTTTGTTTAATGGACAAAGATATATTTTTAGCTTGCTTTTCCAGTCCTTCTCTTGCTTATTCATTAACTGTCCTCCAGACCTCACAGTTTCTGCACCTTTACTTTGTCCTTTTTTTAATAAGAGATACTCCCAAAGAAGTATTGCTTGACTTTTTAATGCTAATCTCGCTTCTGTTTCAATTCATGTTGACCTGGAGAATATATCTTGTAAATAGGAATACCAATGGACATGCTGAATATAATCCTCACTCTCTAAGCATAGATTGTTTTCGCAGCATCCTTAAAGGGTAAGCTGTCTTACTATCCAAATATCATGGCTGGGAAACTGAGGCTAAGAAAGGCTGTATGAATTACGTGAAGTCACACAGGGAATAAATGATAGGCTTAGAAGCCCCAGCTTCTGTTCTGTGTTTGGACTGATGCTGTCTCTCAAGAATACCCTTGATTCCTCCTAATGTTACATACCCTTCCATTCTGTTAAATGTAGCTATTCAAAAAGTGGTTGATTCTCAATTTTCTCACTGTCTGTCCTATTGAAACTAATGGACACCCGAAGGCAGGCATGAAGTATCGTTACCTTTGACATCCAGTGTGTTTTATGTTTTAAACTACGTGTTAGGCAGAATTTTTGGATATTAATTTGGTATAATGAGATGCTTTTCTAATATCAACCCTAGTAAGTGAAGGCCTTGCAGCCAGCCTACTCTTTATTTAAAATTATTCCATTTCAGATGTCGTAATGAGTGCTGTGAGTTGTGTAATTCTTTCATAGTTTTCCCACATTCCCAGGGGGGCACTGGGGACTGGAGTTGTGTTTATTTCAAATTAGGGTGAGCCCAGAAAGAATATCTAGGGGAACTGTTGTTGTGAAACTCCTGCAATTTCAACAACAGCAATTAAAAAATGCATTATAGTCTACAAATGTTAGTGTTAAGATAACTCTCAATGCCTCTGCTGTTTGCCATTATCTTATAAATATCTTGACTCTGACTTTAGAGTGCTGTTTATGGAATTTAATAAAGCAAATGTAATAATGCTGCCTGTACTTTAATGCACAATCTCAATTGAGTTGACCAGAAGATAAATAGGAACAGGAATGATAGTGCATTCCTACGGATTGTTTTTAATAAGCTTGTTATTTAGTTGATCAGCCCAGTGCCATAATGCCTCCTATCCTGCTCTACCAGACAAATTTATTAATGCTTCCCCCCTAGCCCCCATTTCTCTGGGAACATTGATTCCCTGCAGACATATCTCTATTAAACCTCTAGAAAGTCACAACTTCCAAATTAGATTAAGTAGCAGGAATGGTACTAGAAGAATCAAAGAAAATTGAGTGCGTTATTGAATTCATGCCACATTGTCTCAGGAAGAGATGGGAGTTATGTGTAGTGGTAACTTTTGTCCTTACTGTACTAACAAAGCTGTGGGCATTGCTGTCAAACCTAATTGTCTGCAGCACATCAAGGTAAAATGAATCTTTTCCCTTATCAAAACTTGTTTCTAGTGAGGTTTTACAAATGAGAAATAAGTTTCCAAAGGAAGCCTTACAATTGATCAAAATCGTTTGCCATTATTTGCTGTGCACAACACTACCCGAAAACCTTACTGGCAACAATTTTAAAAAGCAGCTGGCGTTGGATAGTAAGCAGACTTTCCTGTCATGCTAGCAGTTGCAAAATGCAGATATTCATTTTAAAACTGCCTATTCCTCATTTTGATCTGACATATTAAAAAGCATATAATTAATGGTTGACATTAGTAATTAACATTAACTTTATGGTGCTTAATATGCCATCGTTCATCCATCAAATAACTGGTATGCATAATGCCTTCGCATAAAGGTTTTAATTACACAAATGATTTTTCAGTTCTCAGTCTCTACCGTTTAAAGTAGTTGTAAATGCATTTTTAAAAGATCTGAATTTTTCATTTATTGAATGTAAACATTGTTTTTGTTTCTTCCTAGGAGTGTGCACAAACGTGTAAGCCAGGGACTTCAAACAGGGAATGCAGACTCAAATGCTCAGCTCCCATTAGTGGCTAAAGAGCACCACCTTGCTGTCGCCAGTGCTCTCTGGAGAAATTTCTTTCCCTATCTGAAGAGCCAGAGAATGTCACAGATGCCACCTTCCCCTCAGCTTGCAGATACAGCTGCAGGTTAGCACAGACCCTCCATGCAAGCACCGAATTTTTTCACTACATTCTGGATCACAAACTTTCAAGGATTTTACATTGGGATGTTTCTGTTTCCGTGTAGTAATATGCATAATTGCAAAAAATTAGACTCTATGCTAAATTTTAACAAGACCAAATAACGTAGTATTGAATTAGCTAATAGAATATAACCAGACTGAGAACTCCAAAGAACTTTGAAGCCATACAAGCGTGACGTTTTTTTCTTCTAGTCACAGACCATGAACATCACTTGCAAATGCTATACAATAACAATGAGAATAACTTATTTCACTGTATCTAGAACTTATATCTTTTTACAGAAGCTTATCTTAACTTTGTGTTGACTATTCCTTTCACTATGCATGTGATTCAATCATTTTTTGTTTTGTGTATTTTACAGATTAAGACAGTTTAAGAGGTTGATTAAATGACTCTTGTTTTTTTGCTGAACTTTTATGGTCATGTCATGGTCATAAAACTGTTTCATAATTCAGTTTAATTTTTCATTTTGCTTGCACTAAGGAGTTAGTTGTTAAGACAGTATTCCATATGTATGTGTACTCGATGTGCAGCAGGAGAATCAGCATGTCATTGAATAAAAAGAAATCTCATTTTGATCTTTACTGTCAGTAGTTAGCATTGTATTCTGCAGTTACAATTATTTTCTATCCACTTAGCTAAAACACAGAGATTTTAGAAAAACGTGTCGTCTTTTTCTCCCCATCATGGTATGAATTAGGTTCAGATAAGCTCAGAAGCACTGATTTGGTAATAGAAACATGAAAAGACCCTTCATTTGATGCAGCTTGGCAGTAGTTAGTAGGTGACTGTAATGAAGGAGGCAGCATGCAGTGGTAGTGGTCTCATGCTGCTGAAACATTTATAGAAAACAGCAATACAAATCAAAGGAAGAGGTTGTTAGTGTCATAACTTTCATTCATTTCCTACAGTGCTACTTCTTTTTATTTTATATTAACACAGTAAAATAGCAAGAAGAGCAGCCTGTTATAAACTCTGCTTAGAAGTAGTAGAGTGCAGTTGTGACCTGCTCTATATAGATGTGTCAGGCACATCTATACTCAGGATAAGGCAAACCCTTTCCACGCTGTGTGAGCTTTTTGCCTTAGAGGCTGCAGCCCAGAGAAGAGACCAGTCATAGCTCTCCTGCTCCCCCTGCCAGGCAAATAGCCTGAGTCTCACATTATCATTTCTGTCTCCCTTTTCTCTCTCACCAACGTTATGGTGGATGTTGCAGACACAACGTGATAATCTGGGAGAAAGCTGGCACAAATTGCTTCCTCACCTGAAGCAGAGTGGGGACTCAGTCTGACCTCCTTTTTCATTCTGAAGCACACAAGGAAATGTGAAGTCCTTCATAGCTTATGATCTATCCCTACACCATTAATTACAGCACCCTCATTGTTGATGTTCCAAAAAACTAGCCTTTTTTGTCAAAATCAATGCAAGCAGCAATCAATGCTTCTTAATGCAAGCAGTTCTGTAAATAATTATCTTAATAAGTTATTATTACATTGATACTTAAGTGGTATTGGAAGATTTGAGAAACAGTGAGCCTGTTATTGTGGTGCCCTCCAAAATAGTTTTCCAACTTACTTGATGTCACTCACTTCCAATCACATAACTCCTCATTATTTCAGATTACATTAAAGACATTTGTTATTTGCAGTGTAGAGATGGTACCATAATAACTTTTATGCTGGCAATGGTGATTATAGATTCCACAGTAAATCTAGCTGGAACAGCAGAAACCTATGTTTTGTTAACAAAAGCTGTGTACTATTCCGCTTTCTAGATCTGTAGCTTCTACTGGTTCATCCTTTCTAAATAGGACTCTCCCTTGCAAGAGGTGTGTGAAAGTAAATAAAACTAAACCCTATAGAATTACGTTAGTACTTCCACATACAAGGGACACAATAGTGAAGCTACACTTTCTCTATAGAGACAGCTACATTTTTCCATGCACGTAAATGTTGTAATGCTATAATGGAATGGAAAGCACTATGGTAATAGTGAGGTGAAAAGTCTCTGGTTATAGCAAATAAGATTGAGCCCACACAAAGCAGCTACAGAAATGAGGGAAAAGAGCTGCTTACCTTTAGAAGGCCTCAGATAAGCAAGGATCTACAGCAAAAGATGCCCTTGCCTCCACTACCAACCCTGAAATGAGGCTTGGGAAGGGGTGGATCCTGGCTCCACGCCTTTCAGTAACTCTGGTGCATTGCATGCACCTGAGCTCCCCTGGGTTGGCCCTGCCTTCCCACTAGGTGTTCAGTCACTGTTTCAGGTCGTGACTTTGCATTTCCACGGCAAATGCTATCTGTTCCAGTAGTTGCCTAGTTCTAATAGAGGTTTCTAGTACTTCTGTCAATACGCATTATTATTTGTAATTAGCTTTAAATGTTTTTTGTTATGTTTCATTTTTGTTAAACAGGAAATTACTGATAAACTATTAACATGGTACTATGTTTTTCTCTCTTTAAATCAGGTTTTGCACTGTTGGCATTGGATATACCCAGCAAAGCTCTATCAGATCTTCAGCCACAACCTGTTCTATCAATGATGCAGCTGTTTGGATGGGATGATATGGTGTGGCCTCACCTGGTGTCTAGGTATCTGAGTCACCTAATTCAAAACAGGTGAAACATTGCAAGTACTTGTTCTTTCAAGTTCTTCCAGTACCTTCTTATTCCCTATTCAGACTTGGGAAATCATTGTTTCGAACAGCAATGTCTCATTAAGTTCACTCTGGTTCTGAGAGTCTTTTGAAGTTCTAGATTTCTTGAAAGTACCATATCTTCTTGGACTTTAATGGTATGTAGTAGGTGTTAATTGCATTGGTTGGATTTCCTGTTTGTTTTTACATATAAACAGTTTAGGACGCTCAAAAATGTCAGGGCAATAGGTAAGAATGAGTTTGGCAAAGTGTCAGCCTCCTTATCCAGCTGCACTTTAATTTGAAACTTAATAAATTCTAAAATTTCTTCTTAGAAGTACTGGTCTTATTCTTCTTATACCATTTACATTTAACAGAAAAACTTAAATCTTATTATAATAAGTTGAAATAGACATTATCAGAGAAGTCTGAAGACACTATATAGTTAATATTAATATTAAAATGTCTTGACTTCTTTTAAATGAAGAAGTTCTTCAGGAAGCTGAGGAGGGGTTGAATAGCATTGAAAATATAAGGAAAATGATTGTCAGAAAATGCATGCATTAAAACTTTCTTTTTCACACGCTTGAAACACTTTCTGAACACATACTAATGTTCATGGAGCTCTGGTTTCTGAGACCTGCTAAATGAATGCTTTAAATTAAATAATGGGATAAGAAAATTTATCACATTCATATGTTTTACATACCAATGATGAATTTTCACAGAATTGCTTAGATGTTGGAAGGAACCTCTAAAGCTCAAATAGTCTAACTTGTCCCATTATCTGCTCAAGTAGGGTCAGCTAGAACAGATTGCCCAGGACAATATACAGTTAGAATTTTATATAGCTGAGAAACTTTACTCCCCTTAAAAGGCCCATGTAAGTCTAAGATGGCTGGTTTGGGGGAATATTTGTTTTCATGGTGTGTTCCCCTGTTACTGAATCAGGCTTTGGAAGCAGAGGTGAGAGATGAGAGAGTGAATGTGTCTTTGTCTCTTTGTTTCACACTACTTGAAAGTGAAAAATGTTACTTGTTTTTTGGGGTAATACTGTACTTAGGAACATAGCATTCAGTCTCTAGATTTGCTGTGTTTCTCTTGGATAAGCACTATAGTGTGAGGTTTCAAATACACATGCTGAATAAAGTAGGAGATGAACACATGCAACTACCTATTCATAATTTAAATCCGTTACTCAGGAGGTAAGATCAAGGAAAACACTTCTATGCCTAAACTGTAATTTTAGTCCTGTTTAAGTGCTTAGGATTAATTACCAGTTCTCCCAGTAAACACTTCAGTGAAATCAGTTTCTTTATAGAATGGAACTATTTGGGTTGGAAGAGTCCTTTAGAGGTCACCTAGTGCAACTCCCCTGCAGTGATCAGGAATCTCTTCAGCTACATCAGGTTGCTCAGAGTCCCCATCCAGCCTGTCCTGGAATGTCTCCAAAGTAGGGGCATCCACAACCTCTCTGGGAAACCTGTTCCAGTGCTTCACTACCTTTATCATGGAAAAACTTTTTCCTTGTATTCTTATGTATACTTAAGTATACGTTATTATCCTTATGTAGATTTAGGTATATATTAGTAATATTCAGTAAACACTCTACATATCATTTTAAGTGTATCCACAAATATATTGCCATCCTAGCTGGGATAAGAATAGTTTTATTTGGAACTGTGGCCTAAGCATTCATGCTCCCAAGTGCGTTAGCAAGCAGAGAACCTGCACATATTACTAATGCTGATTTCCCCCTATGGCTCCGCTGCCAGAATTTGATCTGAAAACACAGTTAGCATTGATGGTAGTTAATGTGTGTTCACTAGTTGAGCAAGAATTGGGAAGACCAAAGGTGAGTCTTGGACTCCAAAGAAGTTCAAACTTGAATTTCCAAATACCAGTTTAGGAATGAGAGGCTCTTGCCTCTCTCCTTTTGTGGGTTGTGCCATGGAGTAAGTGGAAACGTTATGTTCATGGATTCATTTCAAGAAAACCCAATGGAAGTAATAATGGTTTCATAGTTCAGTGGTGATGGATGTGTCTTCTGCTTACATGTGTGTATATTCTCTCTCTTTTTGGTTCTCTCTCATTTGTTCTCATTCTGTCTTTCTCACTCTCAATTTTTCTTTCTGAGTCTGTCTTGCTCCTTTCTTGAAATCTCCCATTGGGAGCATGGGACATAAAGCCCTTGCACCAGGCACATATTTTTGCCCATAAGCAAAGGTTACAATTGCCAAATATCAAGAATTGTCAAAATTGCCCAGCAATGTAGAAATTGGAGTATGTGAGACTAGAATATGTATGTTCCTGCTTCATCAGCAAAGCTACTAGGAGCTCATACTTCCTTGTGAAAGAACAACTTTATTTGATAGAATTTAACAGATATATTGTACTCTAAATACTGTCATTTTCTTATATGCTAATAAGGCTTTTTTTAATGCTAAAAAGGCTTCTTTTTTTTTTTTTTTTTTTTTTTTTTTTTTTGTAGTATGCTTCAAGTACTTATTTACCTTAGGCAGTTGTAGAGCAAAAGTTATCAAAGTGTCTCAAGTGCTGGAATCTTAAGCCTTCATAGTTACTGTGCTGTGATAATTTTCACATCAAACATTCTCAGTTAAAAAGTAAAAAGATTATTTTGTTGCTGATGCTGTTATATACCCTGCAAGCTCAGCCTAGTCTCTTTCAGATGGAAGCTCTGTTTTGCCTATCAGCTACTTCAGTGTTGATAATAAAAGCTCTGATGGGCAAGCTGTGCCCTTGGGAACATGTGCACAAGCTTTGGTATTTCTACTGCAGTAGTGCTTAAAGTTCCTCTCCCAGTTAGTGTTGTGTAGTACATGGTAGTATTAGAACAGATTTAAATTATCTTCAAGCATGTGCATAAACTCATTGATTTAAAAGAACCACTCATCATGCCTATAGCAGGTAGTTCCTGTTCTTTCCTTTCTGAAGGAGTGGGAACATATTTCTCTCCAGCTTCAGGAAGATGCCTCAGTGGCCTACCTGCAACGAAGAAACAGAAATAAGGATGAGTCTTCAGCAGAGAGTATTTTTGTAATGCTCTTGAGTCCACAGAGACTAGCTGCGTGCATCCAAATTATGTAAGGGTCGTGTTGGATTTTTTTGCTGTTTACACATTACTGCAAAGAGCACAATGTCCATAGACATCCTGGGGTTTTTGTTTTGGAAAATGGAATTTAATTTTCAAACCTGTAGTTTTTGGTTGTGGTTTGCATTTGGTTTTCTTATTGTCAATTGCATTTCAACAGGGATGTTCAGACAAAATGTACAGTTGTCATTGCTTTTAACAAACTAACGAAGAAACCAAAAACCTTTATTAATGATATTCAGTGAGGAGCAGAATCCAGTTTGGCTTCCACAGGTCCATCTGGACTCTCTGTTGCAAGCCTGAGTAAAAATTCAGTAGAAAATAAGTAGATTTATATGTACATATATCAAGAAAAGAATACAAGCATTTTTCATTAAAGTCAAAGCACCTAGGACTGACTGGGGAAGAATCTCTCGAAGAAAAATGTTTAGCTATTTTCAAGAAATTTCAGTGACCTGAAGCACACGAGGAGCTCATCTCATAGGAATTGCAAAGGGGCATAGAACAGATCTGCTGTCCATTAGCAAGGAGGTTCTGCAGAGTTAATTATATGGGACCGATGTACTTAGGAAAAAGTCACTACAGCAGCTCCTTGTGGTGGTAAGGCAGACAAACTTTGGCAATGCTGAGCAGCTGAGTAGTGTGGCTGTACATCGAGTGTTGATGGTGCCATTGATTCCAGCCTGTCTCTTGTCTGGAAGAACAGGAGTGAATGATTGAAAGTATGTACAGCAAGTTTGCTGTGTGTGTGAATACATACATAAATGTATACATATATACATTTTCAAGTGTACATCAAGCATAGCAGTTTTCCTTTCTCATCTCCTTGCTGCCTTTTTATGTTTTCTTCTCTTATCTAACAGAACCTGTCTTTGTTTGCTAAAGGAGATCTTTTCCATCTTACATGTAGTTGGGACTGAGCAGACTTCAGAGTGGTTTGGGGTACCTGAGCTAGCTTTCTGTGGAAGGCTGGGATAGCTTAAGCGGTTTGAAGTTCTAACCTGATTCAGATAAAACTGTTCTGTGTTGTATGCTGACAGTTCAGATAGAACTGTGAAGTTATCTGTTGTTGGAATAAGACATTCCACACTGTGAATTTTTTTCTCCCTTTGTTTTGTTTAATGTAGAGGAAACGTGAATGCATTTGTCTGTGTGCTTTTACATTCCTAGGTGTGGCATTACAGAGTTTATTGTTTTATCTCTATTTAGGCATCAAGTTATCACGAGCGAAATCCCCAAAGCACACAGAAGAAATGTCGATTTTCCTTTTCTGTTACTTTACTTTATTTCTAATTGTGTATTTCTATACGTGGAGAGCCAAATGAGACACCCTGCCACCTTTTCCGATACTTTCAGTAATCTCTTTACCTTTTTTTCCTCGGCTACTGATGCAGTGCCCTGTGTGAAGCTTTTTCTACTATGGGATACACATCCTATGAAGCTCTGACGGTGCGTTCTTGGTTTCGATGCGTTTTGCAAATGTTCATAGATCAACCGAGTGCTTCGCTGGCCAAGACAGATGCTGAGCGAACAGTTGGTAAGTGTTCACATTTCCCTAATGTTTGCAGTAACAATTCTATATTGCAAAACTGGCAGACATTTTTAGCTAATTACAAAATGTATTTTTGTTTGTATTCCTTGACTTTTACCTAATTGCAAACTGTGTTTCTTTGCGCTGTTTGTGCTATTTATTGATGGCTTGCCTGCTCTGCGTATGACAAATTTATCACAAACAAAGATAAAAGAGCTTGTTTCCTTGGAAGCAAAGAACAAAAACTTGCTCCCAAGGAGACAAGCTATTTTTCCCCCATGGAGAAACTGCTCTGAAAAAGTGAAAATCTGAAGTAAATAGTTGGAAATCATGCTGTGAACCCCCTAAAAGAAAAAAAAATCCAATTGCAAGTAATTCTTTCCTGTTTTATATTGAATATTTTGCTGTCTTAGAGCAACACTTCATTTTTTCTACAAAACACTGCAGTTCTAATTATCTGTAGAATACATCTTACAGCAACTACTTTTATGCACGTTTTGTAGATTTCTAAGAAAGCCATTAGGAAAATGAAAGACTTGGTTATCCATCTTTAATATTTTTCATTCTTGTGCATCATTATTAGAAACATAACTACTTCAGACACGCATTCTTTGTCAAGAAAAATACTGTCAGTTGCAGAATCCATATTTTAGATGCTTTAAAATCATGTTTCACTTTATGATTTTGTGACTAAAATAGAAAAGCATAACTATGTGATGTATTTACTGCTGTGCTCTCTTGTAACAATCAGGGAAAGCCTATATGGAACAGCTGACTGAAATGACAAGACTGATTTTTAAACTCAAAGAAGTAGAAAGCATTCTCTCAAAGGCTCGTGTTGAAGAACCAGTTTTAAAGCAAGATCCTAAAAATGCTCTTGTCCAATTCATTAAGGTACTGTATATCTTTATGTTAGTTCATGGTGTAACTTAAGTGAAAAGGAATTATATATTAGCTTTGCTTTGTGTGTACAATAAGAAATCATTTGATGTTTTTGTTTTCTCAGGCTGTCGGTAGAACTTACAGTGGCCTTCAGACGCTCCCTGAGAAATCTGCCATGGTACTAAAAGCCCTGGAGTATTTAGGTGATGTATTAAAGTATGTAAAACCTTATCTGAAGGCAAAAGGGCCTCCAGAAGGTCTGCAACTTGCATACTGGATCATAGGTAATTATTTTGCGACCTTTTCTCTTTTAGGAAGCTGTTTTGTAAGGAAACAATAAAATGTGATGTTTAATACTCTTGGTTTTTGTACTGCCCATCTAACAGTTTAAAAAAGCAAAGTCACCAAGATGTTACAGTTAAATACTTTAATTTTCTTTCACTAATTTTCTTTGGTTTTTTAATTCTGATGCTGTGAAGTTGAACCTCCTTGTGATTTTTTAAAATTATCCCTGCAAATCAGTATTTTCAAAATTAAGATGTTTTAACATCTTTTGGCACCAAAAACCACTTGTTTCACCCAAACAAAATCAGAAACATTAAGTCAGTTAAGCAGTATTGCAATACAACATCATATTCATTGGAGCAGTGTCTGCTTAAGTAAATTAGGGATCTTATATACACCCTTTTACAGTTCCTTATGTACAGCTTATGCTTTCTTAAAACTCAGATTCTACTTTTTCATTAAAATGTAGAAATACTGATAGGATGGGAAAATAAGAAAGCTGTTTGTTTTGAGTGAATATGTCAGATTCTCATTCACTTAGCTTTAGAATTAGACTAAACCTTAATTCAGCTTAAAAACAGAGGTAATGATTTGCATGCACATACATACATAGTATTTATCACGACTAAATGGAGGAGAGTGTAAAGTACTACTGCCATGCAGAAGCTGCATAAAATGTAATGGAATTTCAATTTTATTAAAGTACCTTACTTTTCTGCTGCAAGATCCATGTATTTTGAAATGATTAATGTTCAGCCAGGCTGTTGTGCACAAGAATTTGTACTTCCTTCTTAGTTAAGGAAAAAAAGATTCTAAAAAGGCTTAAAAATATATTTTAGTGTATTTCAATCACTTCTTAGCATTGTGAACTCATTAAATTATAAGGACAAAGCAAGATTCTTAACAAATCAAGAATCTTCCCACTTGTGCATACTATACATGTCAAGTTGTGTCTTCTACTGTCCCATACATCACAGCAAGGATAACAGAAGGAATACTTTTAGCCAAAATAAGCATGTATCTTTCAAAACAGGAAGCTCAGGCGATGTTATTAGATGTACTGTTAAATGGTCGTTCTCATTCTCTATGATTGATCATGGTGTTTTCTCTAACTCCACAAGATTAATGTTGTTTTTCGTTGTTTTTAGAGATGGTAACAAATGAGTTTGTAGATTCTAACAGCCTACTTCTGATTTCTCACTAATTTCAAAGTCTTAAACATATTTTCCTGGAGTTTCCTTCCAGCAATTTGTTGTCGCTTCTAATCAAATATTATCTTAGGAATGCTTGTGAAAACTACTACATAGGAATCTGCTTAGTGAGACACCTTATTTTATCTGCATTTTAACACTCTCGAGCATACTGTTATTTTCTCAAAAATTCTTATCCGTAATAAATTTCACAAAGTGAGGGCATTTACATGCCAACACCTTTTAACTGTTCAAGGTTTTTTTTTCTTTTACAAATGAAAAAAAAAATCTTAAAACCATCTCAAAGCTGTGCAAATGATACATTAATGTGTAGAAAATGTGTCGTCCGAGATCCTCATTTTTTGGACTTGGCCCACACCATTCTGGAGAGAATACTCGTTCAGTGGAGTCAGGTGGCCTTCATTCTGTTAATCTACCAAATGAAATGCATTAAATACTATTTGGAAGACATATAATGTTTTCCTAGCACTGAATGAGTGAGTAGCTGCTAAGGTGGCCACGTTGTTAGAAATATGAGTGGAAGGCAAAGGCAGTGCCTCTGGAGTGATCAGTGCACATGGTAAGGTCTGTGTGATCTGAGTGTACATCTGCTGATTGCAGAGCGTTATATATCAAGGTTAGCTAATTTTTCTGGAGGGCTGTGAGCGGCTGTCCTCTCTTTAGCTTTACTGTACTTCTCCTAAAACAGCTTCACTTGCATAACACCTTGTAATTTATTGAAACAGCTTGATGTTGGTAAACAGGAAATGGACATTTTCTTCACCAAGCTTTTTCTAAGGGAATACCATGCAAATAGTATTTGAGAACGAGACAGTTTCTGTCGTTATTCTTGGATGACCTATTCAACATACTTCCTTTCTTCCTTTTTAGGCTTTCTTAGCTTTTTTTATTTCCCTGACTGTGAATTGCTTTGGATTTTCTTGATTCTCTTTCTACAGGATGTCTTGTAAAATTCTGGGCACCAATACTGGCCACTTCCAAAGCACAGCAACTCTTGTTCCGCATTGTAGATTGCTTGCTGCTGCCTCACTCAGTGCTGCAGCAGGACAAAGAGCTGCCTGGGGCTTTACTGTCCGCCATTCAGGAAAGCCTACACCTTTATCTTCAGGTAAATATGTGAAGTCTATTATCAGCAGACAAATGTAGCTTTAGGAAAAGATTCATGCAGCAGAGAAGATTTTCTTATTTTTTTTTCCTGTAATCAAACAAGTGCTGACTGAATTTAAAGAAGCAGCAAGAGAAAATTTTTCTTCTTGAAGAATTTGAAGGAAAATTGCCACTCCACTGGCTTTCCTGTCTTTGCATGCAGCTATGCTGAGGTACACTCCAGAAGCTGCTGTTCTGCTTGCTGCAAATAGAGAGGCTCATAGCCAACCTGCTGTTTACGCTGTGTCTCATGTAAGAGATTTCTGAAACACTGAATCGTGATATATAGCAAGACACTTATTGAGATGACAGAGCATAGAAGTGCTTTAAATCATCCTTGATTTTGTTAACTGTAGATAATTAAAGATGAGCTACTCTATTTTTCTTTGGTCTTAGTAACAAAAGACAACCCTCTGTGTATCATGGCATTGTTTTATCTTAATAGTTTGAGGGTTCGTTTTGCTGAATCAAATGCCTTTTCTACTGCTTATGCTAACATGAGTCAAGCTTTGCATCCTGTTGTTTCTCCCATCCTTCCTTCTGCTTACCTTATGCTCCTGAAAGGCTTGTTGTGTTGTAGAAAGGAATTAATTCCTGTGAGTAAAAAAGAGGATATGGTTTGAAAATAAGTCAACATATTTAACCCTGTAAAAACATTTTTTTTTTTCTTCCTGCTTCCTTTTTCCCCTTTCCTTCTAATATTCATTTAGACTGTAGTTTTAAGTGATTACTTTCAGGATTGTATTGTGAAACAATGCAGTGGTGACTTTGTAAACATCTCTTGGATTTATTCCCTCTTTCAAAAGTTGCATTATGATTGATGATGTCATACGGAAATAAATATGAAGGCATGCAGATATGACTTGCTTTTCTGCTCTGTAGGTATTTTCAGAAGCTATATACATGTAGGACCATCTGGACACTGATGTTACCACAGAGGACTGTCTGCTTGCTAATTTAGTATTTTAGTCAGAGAGTGCTGTTCCTTTGTAGTCTGCACATAGAGATGTAGTTTTAATGTGAAGCCACTCAAGTTGGTTTGAAGTCCAAGTGTTGTAGACCTTTGTTTCCTGTCTTCTCTGTCAGTCTCTGACTTTCTGACCCCACTGTGGGTCTCTTCAGCAATCTACTGCTCAGTCCATGTGCTTTCAGGCTAATTCATTTTAGACAATGCTATTCCTAGAAAACTAGAAATTATTTTAATAAACACTTTGAGGGGGAGAGCAAAGAGAGCAAGACTCATTTTTTTAATTTAAATATTGAATTAAATTCTATTAATTGTTTCTATTTACATGGTTCCAACATTTTAAAATGATATAGACTTCTACATCCAGTCAGAAATACTTCCTTATCCTTTATTTGAGAAACTTAGGGTTAATGCAAAATGGAAAATATCCATTTTAATATCAGTTACAAAACTTATTCTCTTAGGGTTGCTTCTGAGGTCTTTTGAGTTCACAGAAGTTCTAGGAACTCTGACTTCTCAAGTAAACATTTCACAATTGGCTTAAGCCAAGTTGACTTAAGGATAACTTCCTTCCGTTTCACCCCATGTGCATTTCCATTAAATTTGCTTAATGATTTTGTGAATAGCGGATTACTGAAATGTGTGAGTTGATGCAAATATTAAAAATCTCTGCATAAGTAAATAAATGAATCAGCTATGTCAGAAAAGCAATAAAACAGTATATGTGTGAGCATGTAACCATGCTAGGAGGAAACACAGAGAAAACACGTCCTCTGAGAGAAACTCTCTCTTAATTAACTTAAGTTGCTGGTGAAATATTTAATCAGACTGTCCTTGAGAGGCTACCCTGTGGTCAGTGCCCATTCATGGAGGTGGAAAGCAGTATTCTAGTGCAAGAGTCCCAATTCTCTTTTAAACTGTTTTTGGGGGGGATTTTTGTTTGTTTGTTTTTGCCTATAGGGCTACTAGATCGATATTTATTATTTCACTGTGCACCATCTGTTTTGATAATATTTTATGACCTAGGAAAGATTTTCATAGAATCACAGAATGATTTGAGTTGGAAAGGACCTCTAAAGACCAAGTTTATTTAGTTCTCCTCCCAACCCTACATAGGCAGAGATGCTTCCCAATAGATGAGATTGGGACATAAAATCAAAATTATCTTTGGAGTTGTTTAAGTGAAAAATTTCAAAAAGAAAAACATGGAAGAACAAGAATGAGCAATTACTTCATAATTTTATGAGACTATTTGTAATTGTGTGATAATGAGGCATATAAAATCTATCATGTGGTATTTTGCCTTTGTTTATACAAAACAAACAAACAGTTGATTTGTGTGATAGTAGGCTGTTGAAACATATTACTCAAAATATCTTTGATGGATTTCTTGGAGAATGCTTTGGAGTTTTGACATGTTTACCAGTAATGTGGGAAATAACTGGAGCATAAAACTTATTCTAGAGAAGAAATAATAGTTTAAATACATCTTGCAGATTATGGTGTAGGTGCATGTAATAAGCATAATATACATAATAACAAGCTAGATTTATTAGTGTTAATCCTGTCCAAATACAGAAGATGGTTTACTTCTATCTGTATACAGAAGAGTGGTAAAAGATCTTCATTTTAAGTAGTGCTTGGCACATACATTTTCCAGTGATTTTAATGGGCCTGTGCAGGCTCAGCATTTGTCAGAGTTCAGACTTTAAAAGCCCTCCTGCAAGCCACATCTGTGGTCTGATATTTGAGCAAGCTTATTAATACATCTTGTGAATTACAGTATGTGTTTAATAGGAATTGTACAACATTAATTGGTGAACAGCAGATTTATTCCAACAGCAGGACTGATATTATAAGTCATCATTAGGTAGCTTGGCATTTCTGCAGTGAATAGTTCCAGTAATCCATACTAATCGGTTCTTCGCTCTCCACAGGTGATTTACAGATATATGGATAAATCAGAAGAGAGGCAGCTCTGGCTACAAAAGGTTCCTGCAGTGAGCATACACAGGAATCGGTTGCCTTTCTGTTGAAATGAGGAGCAGATGTTGTCATGCTCCTCTACTCCTCTTCAAATGTCTTTGGTTTTTGGTGGGGTTTTGTTTTTGTTGTTTTTCTTTCTTTAATCTCAGAAGACAACTAAAAAACAGTTAATTAAAAAAAAAAAAAAAAAAAAGAGGGAGAGAAGTGCTCTCAACTCTTTAATGTCCATCTGCTTTCTAGGGATTGTCCTAAGGGTCTGATGTGATTATTTTCAGATCTCTGGTCCAGGATTGCAGTCCAGTAACATGTGTTTCTTTCCTCTGTTATATGAACAGTAGCTTCCTTCATCTCTGTTAATTACTAGTGGGATTTAAAAGAAGAGAGTACTCTGTGACCTCCTTGTAATTACACCCTTGACCAATGCTGCCTAGGGTAGTTTGCCATTGTACTCACAGCAACCATGCAACATTGGTAGTTTATCCCTGGTGCCACTTGGGATACGGTGGTGTTAAGCCTTGTGTAGGTCTGCTGCTCTCTAGGCTTTGTAAGAAAAAGGAGGGTCCCAAAATAAGCAGCACAATATTAAGCTAAAGTCAGTGAGCTTTCAAGTCCAAAAGAGAAATCCAAGTTCATCTATGGAAATTTCCAGTGAACAATAGAAGTGTGGGTGCCTACCATCTGATGATTGTTGCCTGAAGAGGTTTGGTGCTGTAAATATTCTCTAATTTTTAGAGGCTGATTCATGATTTTTTTTTTTTAAGCATATAGGGGTGTGTATTTTGGACAAGGGGAGCTCTGGCTACCCACAAAATCGGTGATTTTTCTCATTGTTTTAATTTAGAAGACAGAATTTCTATCTTGGAACAGTTTAGTGCTAAACTTGTAACTTCTGCTGTGCTGCATGGGGAAGAAAAAAAATGAGACTCCTCCTTACTGAGAAGAGATGTTGGTATTACTACATGGTTTTAAAAATTATGTTTTTTTAAGAGACAGCATCTCTGCCTGACCCACCAAAAAGGGTCATGATGAAGAGGATTTCCATCAACAGTTGTCCTTATTGAGTATCAAGGGCACTCTTTATCCTCATCACATGATTAAGAAAAAAAGTGTCAAGCAACTTCCATCCTTTTATTTTCTCTCTGGCAAACGAGTATCTTTGATAATGCTTGTGGCAGGGTGTTATTAAATTCAATTCTTCCCTTCTTTTTCAGATTACTTTTGTTCCCCTCCTACAACTAAAAAAAAAAAAAAAAGAAAGAAAGAATCAGTTTACTTCAGCTCAAAAATGAAAATGCTTTTATGAATGATCAGTCTAGACTTATTGATCTATCGTCAAATGAGACTATTACAAGAGATGCAGAAATTAATCTGTGCCTTCAGAGATCTCAATTCTAGTATTTCTTGCTTATAGGTGAAATATCATTAGGATCATTTTTATAAGAAGAGTAACTTATTTAATAACAACTGTTTTTTTCCTTTTTTTGTGATACTATGTAGGATTTGTTGTTTCTCAGTTTGAAAATTGTCTTATTTCAGTGATTAGAATTACTAGTTCTTCACAGGTGTTGCATTCTCTACACATTATTTCAGGTGTCCTCTGTAAGGTCATGATGTTCTTTGTGTCCTTTCTATCAGATAGATTCTCACGTGTTTTTTTTTTAGTGTTGAAATACTCTAGAGACTTAAGAGTGCCAGTTCAGTTTATGGAATGATTTTCTTTTTTGAGAGAGCTGGACTAGAGAAAGTGTAGGCAATTCTTCATTATGCCTGCTGCAACATCTCGCTGGGAACGCCAAACACTCACACTTACAAACTAAATGATCACTAGCAGTCTTTCTGCTTGCCTTCTGCTTGCCAAGCAGAGTCATCTTAAGAATTCTGATAAATTCTGATATAGCAGCAATTGTCTTTTACTAAAAAAAAATTTTACTGTAGTAAAGCAAACAACTGAGAGCATCTGAACTGCTTATTCCCTGGTTTGGGGAATGTGGCATTTATCAATGGGTTGTACCAGAGTTTCCAAGTAACTCCAGAGACCTGTGAAGTTGAACGCTTGCTGGATGTCTGTGTTCAGGAGGGCTGCCTACAGCAAATCTTCAGGCAGGTCCTGAAGCACCTCATTCACTGACATCCAACATTTCTTGTATGTGGTGCTAATGGTGGCTTGAAGTACTGTTGAAGTTGCTTTATAATGATCTCTGTGCTTGGACTTCTTTTGTGGTGTTATTCTTGTTGGGAAAAACTACTGTGAAAACTGAATTCTGAAGAGACTTCTATTTGTACTGCTTACTGAGGCCCTTGTCATAGAGAATATCTGGGCTGCTTTTTTTCTTTTCCTTCCCTTTGTGATTCGTTCTTCTTCCTCCTTTCAGTAACCCAAGGAACGGGGAGTAAATTCTTAAATTTTTCTCATCGACACTTTTACCACTAAAAGAAATACTTATTTTCCCACAGGTGTAACATCTACATATATATGCGGTGTAACTATAGGTAGTGTTTATGTAGTCACTTTCTAGGCAAGTTTCTACTTTACTAGATTTTTCTGCATCAATGTAGATTATATTGGATAAGTAACAGTAGTTTTAGCTTTATCTAAATGAATTTAAAATAATAATAATTCCCTCAAAAATGGTGCTTTATTTACTCTAATCTGTTCACACTATGAGCAAAATTTTTGTCAGACCACTATTCTAGCTTCATTAGACCAAGTACATAAGTGAAAAAAGTTTTTAGGCACTGAGCCCTGGCATGAAAAGCTAATGTTTTACTTCTGATTTGAAAGGAAGATCATGTTGGTGTTAAGATTATCTTACAAGTATATCAGTTAGTCCAGTATAAGATTTTTCTCTTCTTTGTAAGCCTTGTGCTATTCTGTCTTTAACCATAGACTTGATGGTTTGTTGACAGGTGCAGCAAATTGTTGATACTTCTTTGTCATGCAGTAGTTATTTGTGCAGCAGTAGTTTATAGCGTGTGTAATGAGTATTTAGCCTATTGTTCTTAAATTTGTTCAATAATGAGTTATTCAATTTCCTTCTCCCTTTTTTATCTTTTACAGGGCCTGTCCTTTATATGCTGTCAGTCCCAAGCTCAGGGGGCCTATTTAAATCAACTGCTTGGGAGCATTGTTCAACAGTATTTTGGACGATTTCTCCCTTCTTCACCAACTGCACTTGCAACTGGGCAGCATCCTATGTTGACTGCTCTATGTAGTTCCATTACAGTCCCTCAGGCGCTCCGTCTACGAAAGACCACTCTGCATGTCATAAAGTAAGATCCAGTGATGAACAAAGCATTGCTTATTCAGATTTCACAAACAGCTAATGAAGAAGAGAATGTCACTGTTCTCATCTCAGTAACTGATAGTCAGGCTGTAGGAAGAGTCTGTATGTTGGACAGGAAGATAAGAAAAGGCATAGAATATAGAGCAGGAAAGTAAAACTGAGACGATCTGGAGACTGGTGAGAAAGTCATTGAGGATGGAGGTCCTGGACTATAATAAAAATAATACATCATATAGCCACATAAAAAGCAAGCACTCCAATACATATCATCCTATGGATGTGTCTCAGGCTGTGTTTAGGATCACAGAACCATAGCTGTAACAGCTGCCCGTGAAAGGGAGGACTAGATGCTGTTGTACATATCAGGATATACATAGATGTGCCAGCTATCAGGAGAAATAGAAAATTTGGGGTATGGAAAGAGGGAGATGGAGAGCTATGATCTGCAGTTCTTTGTCCATGTTGGGAAAAAAATTAATCTCCTTCAAATAAAAGGTGGTTGCTTACATCTAAGGTAATTGTACTTTTCTTTATTAAAGAGTGAGTATACACATTCATTGAAAGAATATTAGTGATGATTTCAGGTAGATACAGTAGATAGTGCTTTAGGTAAAGCCTATATTATAACATATAAAGGGAGTGAGTTAAAATTTCAGTCTTCATTCTTTTTTTTAGCTTATGAATACTCAAACTCTCTTATCTTAATAAAATCATTTGTGAATGTGTGCATAGATGTGTGAATTTTAAGCCTTATTGTGGAAAGAAAATTCTGAATGTGTAATGGCATTTGGTGCCTTGTAAAACTTGAAACATTTCTTAGTGATCTGGGAAGAATATCTTAGTCTGATTTATAAACTGTGTGGTGGTCAGGAGGCAGTCACTAGATCTATACATAAGTGCATACAGAGTTTGCTAGCCTTTTTGACATACAGAAGCTAATGAATATCTTGCTGTTGCGCACAGGAAATTGAACCAGAGAAATATATTACCCAGGTCAGATAATCATTTTTGTGAAGAATACCACCCCCAAAAAATAGTGTGCAGTTTTCATAGTAAATTAATGGAACAGAAGATTTTAGAGATGCTAATGTTAAAGTGAGTTAAAACCACATGGTGCAGGGAATATGGAAACATTTTTATTTTAAAGTGTAAACAAAGTTGTATAAGTATGCTTTATTAAGTTTTTAAGAGGTATAGCAGCTTTTAATTAAAGCACTGCACAGCAAATGAGCATGCCTTGTATGAGTAGCTCATGGTAACTACTATTGCGTATTGAAAAGTCATTTTGCAGGTTCTGGGAGTACTTTTTTTGAATTGATGTTCTGTATATTTTATCTCCACTTTTCTCTTCTGGATGTTCCAATTTCAGTAGTTGTCTTTAGATTTCAGTACAGTCATCTGTAATGTCAGATCAATGGTGATTCAATCTTTCATCCTTTTGGGGTAAAAAAAAAAAAAAAAAACAAAAAACAGATGAAATAATTACAACTGGAACAGCTCTGTTGCGTGTAGTATTAATATTTGTTCTTGATGCAGATTTGCACATTACCTTAATGTCTGCAACAAATTTTGTACCAGAGATGATTGTGTTAATTCTGATGGAGCAAAATCAGAGATTCTGTCCCATCTCATTATACTGTTTTACAAAAATAACAGTGCCAGTATAACAACAGAGCTCTTACCACAAGTTTGAATTGTGAGTAGACGATAACACATAAAACTAGATAACGTAATTGAACAGCGGTTGTATTTTGAATGTTATTTCAGAGTATCGGAATCTAAGCTCCTTTTGTTGTTATTTTATGCTGCTTTCTTTATATCTTAACTTTTATAGTCACATTTGGCTTTTTAACTATAATTATGACTGCTATTTTTCACTTCCCTCAACAGAGGAGTCGGAAGACATCACTGTCCTGATAAATTGGGAGCCATTTCTAAGACTAAGATAAATAGAAGCCATTACCTGAGTCTAAATAAAGATAGAAATCTATGTAATAGGCCTTCTGCTGAAATATCACAATATTATTTCCAATTATATGATGCTTGCATTGAATGGAGGAAAAAAACAACAACATATCTCAGGCTTTATTTTGATTTGTCTTCCCAGTGAAAACTACATGCAGTTCAAAGGTAGTGCTCCACCTCCTCGCTTGGCCTCAGTTCTTGCTTTCATTCTTGAAGTACTTCAGAGAACCCAGACCAGTGAACTGTGTGACATTGAACTGGTTCTCCCAGCTGTGTTGAAGTGCATGGTATTGGTTAACGAGCCACAAGGTGAGCTACTTGTTTGCTTTAAATACATCTCTTTACACCTGTAAGGTTTTCATACTGCTGAGCATCTTTCATCCCAGTGTACAATCTGTTCCTGTTTTTTTTGTCTGTTTGTTTGATTGACGCATTAGCCAGATAAAGTGGACAGGCTTTGTTCATTAAATAATTTGTTCTCTGAGACAGGAATTTCTCTCTGACTCAAGTGCTCTGATGGATTCCTGACAAGTTGATCCTTAATTGGAAGTGTTTCCCATCACTCCCATCTCATTTCTTCCAGACTTGTAACAGTGGAAGTTTTCTTGCACCTAAAGATTTTAGACCAAATAAAACTAGTGTATGTTCTCCCCTTAGAGACATCAGAAAGCAACATGCTATACTTAATCCATTTTTGAAGGGATCTTTGACCCCCTTTTTTTTTTCTTCTTTTAACCTGTTCTACTTGGTAGTTATACTTCTATATTTTTAGCTTCTTAAAAATACTTAGTTCACCTCATAGTTGTATAAAGAATGTGAATGTGCCAAAAAATGTCCAGTCCTTGCTACCAGAAAAGGTATTAGGAACAGTGGAGATTAACCTATGACTTCTCCTGGGAATTTTGACTAATAAAGCAATTTTTGATGCTTTTCTGTAAAAGCTTCAGGGACAAGATAAATTCAGGAGATTTGCTGAATCAGCACACACCTTTGTTTCGCCTTCTGCCACTGTAGCCACGGCTGTCTGAAGCTGGAGCAGAATGAACCAAATGTCCTGTGATTCTGCAGCCACCAACTCACAGGACTCCACCATACCCTTGTAGAGAAGTTGCAGCTCAGTTCCACTGTTATAAAGGAAGAGCTTTATCTGGCAACTAGAATATCCATTTGGAAGATATAAATGGAAGAAAACAGTGGGCTCCTTTGCTGTTGTTTGAAAATACACAAAAGAGTGGAATTCAGAACACTTACTGAAAGAAGAGAGAGAACACATATTGAAAGGAGTAGATCTGTATAGCTTTGAGCAGGTTATAATGCCAAGACTCAAATTTAGGAACAATTAAAGAATAAAAACAAAATTGATTTTTTTATTTAAATTTATGTCCATTAAGAGCGTGTGTCTCTGTTCTGACTTAAGGAGACAGTACTGTACTTAAAAATCCGTATGTTTAAAAGATAATGGTGTTGAAAACTGGACTTTGCATAAATTTGAAATTCATGCTGTTCTTATAGCCATTCTAGCTAACTACTCTGTCATTTTACGTGCATCAAAGTAAGATAAAACCCATTATTTTCTCATTTAAAAATTGTAGTCTTCATGAAAGACATTCTCCAGATGGTCAGTTCAAGAGCTCTGTGTGAATCTTGTGATTTTTCTTTTGCAGTTAAAAAAATATCTACAGTCATTGTGCAGTACATGGTACAAGGCTGCCAAGCAAGGTCAGGAGGAGAACATGCCACTCAGCTGACTTCTGTATTTAGGTAATGAGAAAATATGCCAATTGGCAGTGAAGCTACTGCAATCCAATTGACAGCAAACATGTTTTTTTAAAAACAACTAATTATCTTTAACATACTGCATTGTCACTTGTTTATGGTACTTAAATTACGTTTCTTTTGGCACTAGTTTTAAACATAACTTTGCCAAAAAGCCAGAGCAAAAAAACAGAGAAACATATCTGCTTTTTCATGGATTAGGTACTGTTTTGAAAGGACTATAATAGAAAGCTACATTGCTGTTGCAGTGGGAAAATCTCCATATGAGTAGTGCTGTTGTGTAACGTGCTGTGGGCATGCCTAATTTGAAGTGTATATAACAAAGATCATATCCTTGTCCAACAAATTCATTTATTTGTTTCTCTGACAAATGAATAGATTAATGTAATGTCAATTTTACTTATTCCATACCTCAGCAAAATGAATCCTCTTTTTCATGTGGATCCAGTAGAAGAGATGTAGGAGCTAAGACCAAAGACATTTTGCAAACCTAAACACTGCTGCTGTATTGGATAATGTTAAAATGAAATCCCCTGAGCAATTTGCTGATGTCTCCATGTGGGCTGTATCACTTTCATGGATGTTTCACTCCTAGGGTGTAACTTCCCAGTTAGATGTAATCTGTGATCATTAAATTCCTCAAACCCTCAAATAGACAAATGGAAGCACTTCCATGTGATGGTCTGCCTTGTCCAAGATCCAGTGTAACTTTATAAGAAATGCTGATGTTGTTTCTGCAGACTTTAATCTAGATATCTTGTTTAGCTGGACTTTTTGGTTAAATAATAACTCCATGTCTCAGTTTTCCATGTTTTCCATTCAGACAGACGCATTACAAACTAAAGTACTCTGGAACAAGTCAGCTCTGGTAAAACAGCAGCAGAATCTGCTGATTCACTTGAAAATAAATGTGTATTTTTTCTTAGCATTAGCCTTCAAAAGCATGGCTTTGTTTGTAGAAGGAATTGCATATAGAGTATTTCACTGTAACAATACGATCGCTTCCATGCAACCAGTTTGCTTGTTCTGATCAGCTTCTTCAGTTGTTCTTGGCATGTTCTCTGCATCTAGTTCTGACCTTGCATTAAATGCCTCTGTGTCCCCCTCAGGCACTTTATCCAGGACTACACTGCAGTGTATGATCACCGGGTATTCAGCATTCTAGAAACAGTGGCAGTCTTGGATCAGACATTAGTTACCAGCCTGATTCCCACGCTGACGCAGTCTCTGAAGGATTCAGAGTACAAACAAGGTCTTGGAAGAAATGCAGCACAAAGGTTTGAGGCTTTTTTCTATTTAATACCACTTTTTGACAGCGAAGAGTAGAGGTATGATCTCTTGAAAACAAGCAATGTAAGGCAGCAGAACAGATAATCAAAAATGGTTGATTTTTAAGTGGTCAGCCAAAATCTCCTTTCATGGTTTTAGGCCATCTACATCTGCTAAGTATTTTCAGAGAAATTGTGATATCAGGGCTACAAATCTACATACAATTTAAGCCAGCCTGCTTCAGTTCACTACACTGTGTGTTGTAAAATTGAGGGAAAAAAAAAACAAAACTACTGCCCAAAGAATATTCCTGTAAGTCCCTTTTCTAGAAAACATGTTATGTTTTATATGCAACATTGCAGTAAAATCAGGTATGATCTGAGATGTTTGGGAAATTGAACCCATGGTTCAATTTCAAGAGTTCTCTCATAATATAAATTTATGAGAATTGTGGGTAATCAGAACAGGCTGGTCTCCTGTCTGATAGGCACAACAAAATCACACTTTCTCCATTCGCCCCCAGAGAACCTAGGACAGAAATATTTCACTTGTGAATCCATTTAGCCTTAGGAAGCAATGGGAGCTGAGGAAAGCAACTCAGCACAGATGGCAGCACTGAACTTTCAGCAACCATATGAACGTTGTTACAAAAACCCAAAAAGCTCCACACAGTGTGGCATGTAGGCCAAAAGCGCTCCTTCTGTTAGGTCTCCTAACAGGAATGCAGGGCTTGAGAGTCAAGGCCTGGAAGTGGTTTCAGTGTATGCATTAGTGCACATTCTGAGACCCCTCAAAGAGTAGCTGCTGGTCACACCTCAGGCTGGAGAAGTTTTGAAGTAAACATTGGCAAAGCCTGAGTTATGGGGAAAAAAAGCCCACAAAACCATCAACAAAAATAGCACCAACAAGAAAACAGAGTTGTGTAAGAATGTAACTCAGGAGCCATGAAGGATTTACTCAAGGAGTATTCACCTTCCATTTAATGAAAAACATGTAAGTCACCTACAAGTGTATTATTCACTTTTTTTATTGGCTTTTTCTCATAAATGCATTTGCTTTTATTTAGAGGAGTTAACACTCAATCAGACTGAAGGACTATCGTACGCAGCATTTTCATACTACTTTCAATGATGTATAGTTCTTTGTAGTTTACCAAGTAAAAGAGACGTCTAAGCATTGTTGCAACACTGTCATGCCAACTGTGCTATTCTCTTTCTTCCAACTTGGCCATGCTAAAAAGTCACAGCAAACAAAGCTGTGAATAGGTAAGGAAAGAAGTTATTATGGGTTAGTAATCCAGTGTGTTTGGGAATTACATACTTTACTGCTGGAATGTGTGAAATTGTTTAAGTAATGTTACATTCTTCTGTTTTTCAACAGAGAAGCCTACAAAAGGCTCTTGACTCACCTCTCAGAGGCTGGACAAAATGAGATACAAAAACTGGAAAATGAGGCAGGTTAGCAGTTGCTGGTGATCATCCTTTCCTCTTCAATGTTCCAACACTGTTGGTGCATAAATCTGCTATGTACAACACACTAGCCAGGTTCTATGTATTTATTTTAATGTTTTCTGTGGTATTTGAATATTGTCATGCATCCGAAGTGTAACTCTTAATATACTGTTGTACAGTGATTGAAAGATATGGCAAATGAATTGTCTATGTAAGCATAGCCTGGATTGCACCGTACAAAGCGGGATTTAAAAATAAGCACATATACATAATAATTTCAGAAAGCTCAATTCACACTGAGTCCTGACCCTCTTAACATTGTACTTTGGAAACCCTATTCAGAATGTTCATAAGAAAGTTCTAACTTTGTAACTTCTAATTTATTATTTTAGAACAAGAGAAACTTTTCTGTAGCGCTGAATTTGCAATATGCAGGCACCACCTGCATGTGGGCCGGTATGGCAGAGATATCATATGTAAATAAAGGCTTCTGGTATGTTGCACAAAATGTACATAGCTGTCTTAACCTTCCACATTATTTAAAAGTCTTTCAGTTTCCAGTGTGTAATCTTTTGTGTTATGTTTGTGGGTAATAAAAGAAAAAAAGTTCAGATTTCTTGTCCTCTTCTTTACTGTTGTCAAAATTAACCCAAAATTTACAGCAATCCCATAATTTTATTTCTTAGTTATGACAGTGTTGATTAGCCATATCTAAAATTATACTAGGTGTAAATAGTTGAAGTGAGCGCAGATGGGATTCTGAAGGAAGTGTTCATTTGGGAAATGTATTTCATCTGACCATAGGCAAACTTCTGTTTGCCTGGAAAGCCAGATTTGCCAAATATTTTGGATTATCCCTTGGGTCTTTCCAGGATAGGCTCTGTAACTTTTTTACATTTTTTTTTTCCAAAGCAAGTTGTTGGGAATCTTTCACTAATGCCTATGGAATTCCAATGCTTCACTTCCCACAATAACCTGTGTTTACACAGCTACTGGAAGAACTCTTGGAACAGTAAGTTCCTGTCATTTGCCATTCATGTTAACACTGGTAAAGAGGCTGTTCACTTTTAAAGTTATTCAGATTTCACTTTCATAATATTAATGTGAAAGAAAAATTATTTTAGTGTCTTAGACTCCACAGAAATCCCTAAGATGTTGTTCAGAGCAGCTTCACTTTTGTTACAGTAATCTTATCCAGTCAGATCAGATAGTCTTCTTCCCTAAATCAGCTATCCTTACTTCAGATAGCACAGTTAACTAAAAGCCTCTTTACAGCTATTTAATAGCTCAGAACATGGAGGTTCTTTTCATTATGAAAGTGACTTATTGAACTCGCATTGTAGGTTCTTGTAAGTTGGGAGGAGTTTGATTCATCTCACGAGAATTGTGCTTCTAAAAAGCTTTTAAAATAAATAAATAAAAACTACAAAAAAAAAGCCACCTCTGAGTGAGATTAAGAGATGTCTTTGAAATCTGAGCCCTGCCACCCAGATTACAGAGCAGATGTCTGACTTGTAGTAATATTTCCTGAAAAGTAAAACCATTGACTTATAAAGGATAGAGCAGATTAACAATCTACTAAACACATCATTAAATGATTTGTTATAGGGTATATTTAATACTGTCTGAAGTAGTTGGAAGTTTCTGAAAAAGCAACAGAGCTTTATGCAAATGTATGACAGTTCTTACTGCACAAGAAACTAATTCAAGCAGTTTGGAAATTATCATCCTTCTCTGTCAAAAAGTTAATGTGAACAGAAATAAAGCATTTTGCATCATATTCATCACCCACTGCCAAATGGGCAATTTGGTTGGGCCTAATTATGTGGTATGGACAGTTGCAGATGTGACTGACAGGTTTGATAATATTAATCAGATAAAGGCTCGCAGGGTATTAGTCTGGACTGACCTACCACGTATACAACAGAAGAGCAGTCCAAAATCAGTTAGAAAAAAAAAGAGGAAAGTGCTAAATGCAAGTACAGTATAGAAAACTAAAGACTGAAAACCACTATGAGCTAAAATAAATCATATAGAAGACTATGTATTATAATGTTTCTATAATACATATGTCTTATATAGAAAAGTTTAAATAATGTTGTCTCCTAAATTACCTTAATAGAGAAGCATTTAATGATTTTGAGTATGAACAGTTTGGTTTGAAAACAGTTAGAAAAATTTACCTTCCTTGTACAATCATGGGGGACTGCTTAGACTACAGCAGTAAATCTTGGAAAGCTTCTACATGAGCTCTACCACTCACAGGAGCAGTTTATCTGTGTATAGATGCAAGGTTCAATTCTTGGTATGAAGCAGTAAGACAGAGCCTTGCTGCAAATCAACTGAAGTGGGCATCTGAACAGGTTTCCAGCTCCTGGTGAGCAGTATCCTTACTCTCTGGCAGGGGAATGGAACTCATCTCCTGCCAAGCTCGCTTTCATCTCCCTCCACCAAAGACTTGTCTCCATGGTGGTTTGTGCAAAGGTGGAGATGGGTGGCCCTGTTCTGACACATCAGTGTTGGACCTTGTGTGCAGAATAGGAAGAGTGTAAAAGCATAATCAACTCTCCTGTTAGGTCTGCCAGGGAGCAATATCCTGGTGGCACAGAGCTTGGTTCAGCAGCAGCTGACAACGTCACCTCAAGGTGTAGCCAGCAGATTCTTCAGTGTGGTGCAACTTGGTGAGAAGCTGAGAAACATTTTTATCCCTCAGTGATATCCCTAATGTTCAACATATTTACACTTCTTGCTCCTCAGTAGTTTTCCTACCAGTGTGTAAGGGTGGTTTGCAAGTGTATTGGATTTGTGCAGGACCCGAGCAGGCACTGCTGGCATTACTAGCAAGTCATATACCAGCCTCAACTCACTGATGAGATCTTCATTTCTTTGCATTCAGTGGAGAGGCACTTTCAGATGTCTGTCTTCAACGCTGTGCAGGGAAAAACCCAGAAGCATCAGAAAAGAAATCCTCTGCAGACTATAGGATGTAGATGCATCATTGCTTAGCCCTGCATTAATTTTTGGATTCTTTGTTTCTCAAGAGCAGTGGGTTATCAGACACTTCCACTAATTGGGCAGATATCATTTGCAGGATGATCAGCTCTCCCCTAAGCAATACAGGTCATAGAATCATAGAGTGACTTGATTTGGAAGGGGCCTTAAAAATGATCCACTTCCAAACAGTTCAAGAGTAATTCATTGAGCCTCTCGTGTTTAGACAGACAGATGCCACTGCAGTTCTGCTGCTTTTACACAAATCTTTCAAGCTTTTGTGGCCTCGTAGGCATGGAGCAAGAGTATTATCGAAGCTTTAGTTAGAGTTGCTAATAACAACTCTACTTTAACAACAATTCAGTCCTGCTCTGCTTTTTTATATGAAAAGTTGATGATATTAAGTATTTTGAACATTAATTACAATCATTTAAGGTTCACCATACTTCAATGGTGCTTTAACAAAATATCAAATCTCAATGAGCCATTTCTTCTCCAAAAACTCTCATGGTCCATGCCCAACGTCTCCTTTGTTTTAGAAGTGCAAATGGCATTGACAGGAGACCTCTCTGAAGTACAGCAGCCATGAAACTTGTGGGCATTTTCTCTACTGATCTCATGGGCCAGAGGACAAATATGCCCTTTCAGTTTTGCAGTATATGAGAATAGATAGCTGAATAGAAAGTATTTTTCTATATTCAGTATTACAGAATTCAGAATTCAGATCACCTCTGCCCCCTTGTGATGTGAAGCAGATGTCCAGCCCATCTCAAACAACAGCAAGAAAACGGAAGTCTGGTTTCTCTTTCCTTTATTGACCCTAAAATAACTGAAAAATAAGGAGAGGAGGGAGAAAGAAGCCTTCTGTTCAAAATTCACATCTAATTTCCAGCAGTCCCACTGGAAAGCTGCCCGTCTATTTTATAAGAATTTCCCATTTTTATTGTTATTAAAGAGAAGGAATGTGATAATTTAAATTACTCCTTGCTTTCATTTTCAATGACAAAAAATAAAATAGTGGGGGGAAGGAACTTGTTTCAATAAAAGAGCCTCTGAAATAGAAACATTTACGCCTTTTATGCTGGAATAGAGCAGCAGATCTGTGCAAAGAAAAAGCTTCTGCGAATCTGCTATAATTGCACAGAAGAGGAGCTACCAAGAGCAGACACTACTTAAGGAGTCATTTAAGGAACTCCTATAACTGTCCACCTAAATGCAGTGCATTTCCCTCAGGAAACAGAAAAGAGGTTTTATTGCGCTCTGTTTTTGCTCCTTTCAATAGCTTTGGAAAATTATGTATGCATGGGTATTTTCAGTTAAAAATTATAAAATATGATTAAACTATTACTTAAAACACAAATTCAGTGTAATCGGCCCATCTGTTAGCAATGGTTATAAAATTATGTTGAAGATTAGAAATCTGATGCGGTGTCAGTATGTCATAGCATAATTAGGCTTGGTTTATGATGAATGACTTATGGATATGGCTTTTGTCTGCGTGAGCAGCTTGGAAGGGGTAACCCTTCTGTAGACTCAATATGTGAAACCTAAAGATACGTGTAACAAAACCACCGCCAACCCAAGTCCTGCACCACAGGTGTGTCTCTTTGCAGACCTTTGGAAATGCCAGCAGAGTAACTCCACGTCACAATCCAATCCATTATCTGATCCAATCCAATGCATTATTCAGTCCATCTGGGCTGACCTCGGACGCGCAGCCTTTCCTGAACATCACCTAAACAGGTGTCAGAAGTCCCAGTCTGCTAAATACACTGATTTCATAAAGGGCCAACTTCATCTGTATTGCACTGGTAGAAAAACCAGCTCAGCTTTCAATTACTGCTAAAAGAAGAAAATGATGTGTTTTTCAATACTTCCAAATGTTGCAACGTAATCTAATCTACCCAGGTAAGAGTTAACATTTTAAGTACTTTAATTTCGCAGAAACTAAGCTTTTTTTTTTTTTTTTTTTTTTTTTCCAAGGACACATTTTAAAGGGGAAAAAATCCATGTAACAAGCATTTTTTCATTATAAATTATATATACTTTCACAGAAATATCATAATTAAACTGTAGAAGCCCTTTATACATCTCTGTGCTAAACTTTATGCAGTCTTCCTCCACTACGAACCCTGACTGCAGATGAAGTGTTTTAACCTTGCCCTCTTAATTTATTCTACATTCTAATTTTCAATAAACAGATGCCGCCTCTTTCCGTGCTTGTTTCCACATTGTTCCACATTCTGCCTGTGTTGTTTCTGCATGTGTGAATATTCAATTATCTACTTCTCCATGATTCTGCAACTGATGTACTAAATGTCTGCACAGGTTTGGGGGAAGGGAACTAGAGATGGCAGAACTTCAGGAAAAGAGTTACAAAAGTTTGAATGATCCTGGCAGGCACTCTTCTAAAAGCTGCTAAGTTAAAATTGTAAGCAACAACTCTTAATGCCAGGATTCTGAACACAGTAATGCACGGACTGGGTGCACACTGCCTCACAACACGCACTGGCTTCTTTTCACAGCATTTGAATATGAAAGGCTCAGCAGAGTCTGAAGGGGCAGAGGAAGCTGTTGGTACTGGTATCCTCTTGCTGCTGCTGTAACATGTCACAGAATCACAGAATCATTAAAGCTGGAAAAGACCACTGAGATCACCAAGTCAAACTGTCAGCCCACCCCCACCATACCCACTGACCACATCCCTTGGTGCCATATCCACACAGTTCTTGCACAGTTCTTCACCTCCAGGGATGGTGACTCCTCCCTGGAGGAGGAGTCTCATCACTCTCTGTGAGAAGTTTTTCCTAATATCCAAACTGAACCTCCTCTGGTGCAACTTGAGGCCATTCTCTTTAGTGTTATCGCTAGTTACACAGAAGAGGCCAATCCCTACTTCATCACAATCTCCTCTCAAGCAGTTGTAGAGAGCGATAAGGTCACCCTTAAGCCTTCTACAGACTGAACAATGCCAGTTCCCTCAGCTGTTTCCCATAAGTAAGTCTTGTGCTCCAGACCGCTCACCACTTCATTACCCTTCTGTGAACACACACCAGGGTCTCAATGTCTTTCTTGCAGTAAGGGGCCCCAAACTGAACACAGTACTCGAGGTGCAGCCTCACCAGTGCTGAGTACAGGGGGATGATCACCTGCCTTCTCCTGCTGGCAACACACTTTCTGATACAAGCCAGAATGCCACTGGCCTTCTTGGCAACCTGGGCACACTGCTGGCTCATGCTCAGCCTGCTCTCAACAAACACCCCCCTTTTCCCTCCCCCTCTCCCAAAAGGAGGTACCAGGAGTAAGAGTGCAGAAGTGCAAAGGCTCTTCCTTACAGCTCTCCAGACCCTGTGTCCCAAAAGCCTGCCTGCAGCTGGGAGCAGATTTAATCAGTAAATGTAAGAAAATGCACAGAACTGCACTGGCATCCAGACTCAACAGTTCACAATGCTGCTGCATTACACAGTTGCAAAGATACCTCCAGTTCCCGCTGGCTGGAAGCTACTCCGTTCCCTTGCACAACAACCCAGATGGGAGCCCGAGTGATGGTGCTGGCAGCTGCTTTCACACTGTGCCGGTCTCACTCCAGGAACAGCATGATCCAGCGTGGAGATATTCTGGGCATCCTCAAGGCTCTGCAGGAACACTGAGCTGAATGGTTTCTCAGAGGTACGCACCAAAACTGCTCGCTGGTCAGAGAGAGTACTTGGGTTCAAAGGGTTATGTTTGCCAAAAACAAAACTGGAAGTAGAAGAGGTAGTCTTGGCACTTGTGCATAGGAACTTGTAGCTGGTGCAGTTTGAGAAGACAGTGACACCGTGCAGAAGAGGCAGCACAGGGATAGGCAGGTTTGGAGGCCTCCGGCAGCCTTTGCTGGCCAGGGCCCTGCAGTTACGTGGGGCTGCCCGGGCTCCCACCTACCTCCTGCACTGCCACCCTTCTTGCTTCTCACACACAGCCCACTTGCTCGCTTTGCGAGGGCTGCGTGGCTCTTTCTGACATCAGGAGCAGCACAGCACCTGCCTATAGTCCTGCAACAAAAGCAGAAAGATCCAGATAGGAAAGCAAGGCAAAAAACCTGGCCACAGAATGGCAATGAAAGGCCTCTGTGTAATCACTGGAGCCTGGTGATTAAGAGCCGGAGCAGCATCCTGACACTAATAGGAGCATGTGTGTTGTCCCGAGGCTCAGTGGATGTGCTCCTCTTAACTAATTCAGTGCACTTGCACAGCTGTTTAAAATCGCTATTCACCAATGCAGACAATTGGTGATAACAGCCAGAACAGTAGCAGTGTCTAAAGGGCAGAGCAAACATGACAAACAACCCTCCTGCCACACACTCCCGCCTTGCAGCCCTCGAGCGCGCTGCACTGCATGAGGCAGCGACCCCGGCTCAGCTCCAGGAAGAACGGCTCAGACAGGATGCAGAGCTGCAGCTGTGGGAGGCTACAAGACCTAGGAATAAAAGCATCACGGTGGAGCTTAGACAGGCCAAATGACCAACGCTCCCTTGTCTGGAAGCATGCTGGTGGCTTTGCACAGCGTGAAAGCTGCTCACTCACCTGGCACAGTCCCTCTGGGGCAGGCCTGGGGCCACATGTGACTGAAAACAAGGCCTGGGCCACGCATACAGCCCATAGAATCATTAAGGCTTTCAGAGACTGCTAAAATCACATAGTTCAACCCCCAAGACCCCCCCACCATGCCCAATAACCATGTCCCTCAGTGCCACATCCACATGTTCCTTGAACACCACCAGGGAGCGTGACTCCACCATCTCCCTGGGTGGCCTGTGCCACTGCCTCACCACTCTTTTAGGGAAGAAATTCTTTCTATTATTCAACCTGAACCTCCCCTGGCACAACTTGAGGCCATCACCTCTCACCCTGTCACTGGCTACTGGGGAGCATAGGCTGACCCTTTCACTGCAATCTCCTTTCAAGGTTTTGTCTGTACAAACCATGCAGCTGGAGCTTAGCTCTATGCAACCAAAGACTGCTAAGAAAACCCAACAAAACAAACAAACAAAACTTTATAACCTGAAAACTACTGGAAAAAGCAAGGTGACATGCCGTGACTACCTGCCCATCTGGAGACTGAGATAGCACAAAACGATAGAGCTCACCTCACTGTACTGCTAAGCAGGCCCTTCGAAAATGTGTTTGGCCTGGAAGAGCTGCTCACCAGGCAGTGCCAACCCATTCCTGTCCAGCACACACAGCCTCTTGCTGGGACATTTTCCACAGCTGGTGTTTTTGTGAATGTCAGCAGGAATTGCACAGGTCTGCTCAGATAGCACAGGAGCAGGGAACAGATCAGCAGGTAAAGCAGAAAAGTGCATGGTGCCCGTGAAGCATAAATAAAGATTTAATCATATGCTTAGTTAATATTTACAAACATCAAAGTTGCTGTCAGATATGCAAAAAAAAAAAAAAAAAAAAAAGATGAAAATAAGAGACAGGGTCTGCAGGAGCCAAGCAAAGCCAAGATATAACAGGTTAGAGTATTTATTGTGAAGTGGCATATGCCTGAGTATGGAAGGGAGACACACCATAAAAACCCCAGGAATAAATAAATATTGACATTGTTATACAGCTGTTTAGCCTCTGGAGACCAGTGATTTGTGGGACCATATGTTGGACAAAATGAGACCATTTGTTGATAATTGTAAATGTGGTGACCCCTTACAAACTGAATATTAAAAATATTAAGTAAATGGCATATTTTAATTACACAGTAAAGAGGCTGTTCTCCACCATTAAAAGACAGCAGATGTCGGGAGGAATTGATCACGTGACTGAAGGTAACATTTATTTGATAGCAGACCTTGGTAAAAGACATCCCACATGATTTTTAGACTCTCAAACAAACATATTTGGTTCAGACTTGCACTTAATTGTGAAGCCTCAGCTTCTCTGTCTTTTGCAAATTTTCACGTATTCTTCAGATACTATAGGGCTTGTTTGGTTTTTATTTTTGTTTTAATCTGCTTCACAGTATTTAAATTTAAAATGAAATACAATTAAATGAGAAACTGTAAACAATGGAGTTTGGAATTGGAAGTCAACACATTTGTTATTCTTTTTGCCAAAGGTATCAAGTAAGTTGCATAATTACCACAGTATTATACCATCTTTTCAACACAAACAGTACTTCCTGTCGTCTTTGAAAGTGCCCTTAGTGAACAACAGAAAGTGCAGACTCCAAAGAATAGCAGCCCAGGGAGGAGCCAGGAGCATCACAATGCCTTATGAGTTGCATAATGGAATTATATAGAGACAGGCAGCAAGTAGTCACCAGAAATGCAAAATGCTCTCATGTATACACCTCTGCAGCTGAGGCAGAGGAGAGATACCAAGGGTTTTGTAGCCTCCTTCCTGCCTATCGTGGTCCGACATTAAGACAAATGTGTGACAGTAAAGCAGCAGCCCATGGGGGTGGATTCTTTTTGCAGATCCAAAGACCCCTTCCATACAGGGGGTTTGATTTTCGCCCTCCGCATGCCACTGTTGATGACGACACGTTCTTCATCTCACATTGTGCCCATTCTATGGTGAGGCACTTGCAGGGTCTGAAGGTTGGGGCACGTGAAATAGGGAGCTGGAAGAAAGCATGCTGCTATCCCATTGGAAGCAAACGGCAGCGTGGGCCCATAGAAAACTTCTTCCTTCCCTTCCTTGCTGACATCCAGTACCTGCAGGGCAAAGCATAGAAAACATTTCTGGGATCACAAAAGTAGTCTGAAATAAATTTGCTGGCACAGAATGCACGAGTGTACTACTAATTCCAGCAGAAATGTAGTTTCAGATCACTTCTAGATTGCTCTTGGGGATCTGCTGATTTATTGCTGTCCTTATCACCCAACTCTTACCCTAGCTTAGCCACTTCACAGCAGACAGTGACATTTGGTAGTGCAGCCATGTGAGCAGAGCACCAAAATGCTGAGCAGTTGTCACAAAGCATGATTCATTTCTAAACTTGGAGCAAGGGAAACTGGAAAGACTAAATACATGAATGACTTAAAGACAATGAAGATGTATGGAGAAAAATGGGTTTTATTCCAAAAGCAAGAGTAAACTCAGACTTTGTGGATTTGAAGATAAAAGAGCTGATTTCATTGGTGAAAGCCAGGCACAATGCCAACAGCTCTGCCAGAGCATCCTTACTCTCCTTTTCCCATTAAAGCTGGGACTGTGTCAGGCAAGTTTCCAGCTCACAACCACGATTTTAAGGAAATGGGCAAATTTCCATTTTGAAAGTGAGATCTCAGGCTCATCATCACCTGTCCCTAAGCAGTATTTAAACCCAGGTGCAAAACTACAAACTACCCACTGACTATAAACAAGCAAGGCCACTGCCTTGACACTGTACTGCTCATTACTCCATTCAGAGAACTGTACTTCAACTAGTGTTCCCCAACCTACGTGTTGTTTTTTTCCAAGGAAAATTTTTAGATATGGTATCCGACATCCTAGTAACACTCAATGATAATATCAGAAGAGTAAGATTTTAACTGTTTATCTTGCTCTCATTCATTATAAGATCAGCAGCTCAACATCTGATACATTCCCTTCTGCTGGGTCTAACTTCCATCCTTATGGGACAGCTTGAAGGTTAAATTCTAAAATGTTCAGTTGGAAGCTAATGAAAATATTGCTTATCAGCAAAAGTGCAGAAACAGAGATGGAACCAAGAGTTCCTGTGTGACCAGCTCGGCAGTTACAGAAAAGCTATGGCCACGATGCAGATTGGCTTCACTCAGAAGACTGCAGGAAGATAAGAACTCCTAATTTCTGTATGGGAACATCTGAAGGACACGGATCTGCAGGTAAGCTGCTGTTACACAAGATGAGAGAGCAGAAGAGTTTACTGAACAATCTACTGCCTACAGCAGGGATCAAAACTTCCATTCAAGCTTTGAAGCAGTAAGCACTTGGGCAGGTTGCAGGCTTACTGAACTTTGCCAAAGAACGACACATTAACTCTGGCTGCTCTTCTAAAAGACAGCTTGGAGAGGAATAACGTCACACGAATGGCTGAAAACATGTTAGCCCACATCTCACTGTCCATTTCTGCATCTCTTTTACTTTTGAACTCTGCTGTGTAACCTGAGAATATTTTTTTACTGAGAATATTTGTTTTACTCAAATCTTGTTAAAGGAGAGATTCCTCAACCCTGTTTTCCAAGAGTATCTTACTTAGAATAATTATATTTAATTGCCAACCCGGAAATATTTCTTAATATCTGCATTTCCTCTCAGGTTGGTAGAGGCTCCGGGGCTGCTTAAGAAACATCCTTAATCTCTCCACTTCACCTGCATTTTCCTTTTTGAATAACCTCTGTGCAAAACATCTCCTTGCAAAATTATTGGAAAAGACTTTAAAAGAAACCTAAATCACTCACCTGGATACATGCCAGAGGCTCATTTGTCCAAATTGAATAGCCGCCAACTAAATATATTCTACCATTGTGGACCGCAACTCCAGACTCATTTTGACCTAAAGGAAAAAAAGGAATAGAAAACACTTCCAGTGTTTAATTAACCCTTTTAACACTGAGTGCTGGAGTTCTGCCGTAAGATGCAAATGCACTTGGCAGTAACTTGAGTTTCAGAGTTGACAACTTGCAACAATCGATGTGAAACATGAGGGCTGTGCTCTGCTGTCCGCAGGAGCAATACAACAGATGAGTCGTGTCACAGATGCACAGTGGGGCTGGGCAGGGGACCATCTGCTGCCTTCTCAGTGGTTTCTGTGCACTTGTATTTCATAGGTGATGGGTGAGCTCCCTGCCTGCTACCAGCTACCATCGCAATCATCCATTTAACACAGACGTGATGAAGGATCTGAACTCACCCCTTTCCCCACTACAGCCACAGGTACAATAGGGAAAACTGCAGGAGTTGCTATGAAAACTCACTCCAACAGCAGCAATCATCTCCTTCTCCTAATCTGAAAGTTCTGAAGTATAAGTAAAGCTTTATAATCTGCGCTACGTGGTGCAACATCTTCTGCCAGTCGTGAAATCACAGAGAAAAGCTCAGGTGTGGACTGTGGGAACAAGCCACCTGCTCACATCTGGGGAGAGGCTGCTGGCTCACAGCATTTGGTGGCACGGGGTCAGCTCCAGAGCAAGGGTGCCTCCAGTGCCAGGACTTTTGCAAGTTACAAGTCAGGAGTCTTATTCAAAGGCAGTCATTTTGAAAGGAAATGAACACAAAATAGAAGAAATCAATTAAACAGAGAGCAATATGAATATGATAAACTAGTTCTGTTTGACAGCGTGAAATTCTTCCTTTTTGATCCAAGCATCTTTTCCTAGTGTCCATGAAGGACTCTGATGATCTAACTCAGAAACCAAGCAATCCTGAAGATTGCAGAGATTAACAAACCCAATGCAATATCCTAAAGAACAAAAATCCACTATAACAGCTTTTAAATCTACCAAAAGGAAAATGACACCACGATACTGTCTTATTTGTCAAGCATTTATTTCTCTGACATGTTGTTCCCAGTTGTCCTGAGCTTCTAGTCTATTTCCTTTTGTATCCTTTTGAATGGTAAAACTCAGAAGTGAATGAAAGATTATGAAAAGTGAGGAAGGCTCATTTCTAGGATTCCGATAGCAGTCTGTGCTGAAACATTTTGACAGACGAAACTGTTACTAAGGGAGCTCCAAGTCTGCTGCAGAAGAGAACACCCCAACATTAATGTCAGCTTTTCCTGGAAATGCAGCATAGAATGATAGAATCACCAAGGTTGGAAAAGACCTACAAGATCATCCAGTCCATCAGTACTTCTCACTAAACCACATCTCTCAGCACAACATGTAAACATTCCTTGAACACCTCCAGGATCAGTAACTCCATTACCTCCCTGGGCAGCCCATTCCAGCGCCTGACCACTCTTTCAGAAAAGAAATATTTCAGAAAAGATAAGTTAGTATTTCCTAACGTCCAGCCTGAATCTTCTCTGGCGCAACTTGAAGCCATTCCATCTCTTCCTATCACCAGTTACACAAGAGAAGAGGCCACCCCCAGCTCACTACAGCCTCCCTTCTCTTCTGGAAAGCTACTGTTGGTGCCAAGAATACTCTGAGAATGTGTCGCTTGCCTGCCTCTACCAGGGTTTCAAGTGGTAATACATCAGGCAGTGGTGACATTCGGTGGATGGTATGACAGGGACAGAGAGTTGCAGTGCATTGTGATTTGAAACTGGAACAGTTCCACCTAATGACCGTAATAAGGAATTCTGCAGATGACACAGCTATCTAAGCTACTCAATGCATCCTTGATTTGATAGATTTCCAACAAAGACTCCTCCTTTCTGGAAATGTATAAAGATGAAGATGTTTGGAAATAAGTGACAGTTAATGGATTTGAGTGTAAGCCTTGATCTAGTGTGTCAGCAGAAAAAGATAAAAATGATGATATGGTAGAAATGCATCTGCCTACTGTAGACACCAAACATTGAACTAAATCTATCAGTGCATGCAAGCTTCTAGAGAATCAAAAATAAGTACTGGTAATAATATAATATAATATAATATAATATAATATAATATAATATAATATAATATAATATAATAAAGTATTTTTGCTTTCCAAATTAATTATATGTGTCGTCTTAAAAATGTAGCCTGCAATATCCTAAAACAAATGTTTTCTTAAACAATGAATGTCAGGACAGTAATCAAAACTCTCGTGTCTCAACAATGACCCCTAAGCTAGAGGCAACCGTGGTGAAATTGTGGAGTTCCATATACCAAACGCATGAAAAGGACTTATGTTTTAATTTAATAGTGGCAATTTTTCTCCTTTTTGTACAACTTGCCTGTCAACATGTTGAAGCTGCATCGTGTCCACTGGTCAGCATCAATGCTGTAGGAGTCTATGTGCCGAACCAGGATCCGATCATTGTTGTAGTCCAGGTCATTCCCACCTAGCACATAGAGTTTCCTTTGGACTGCAGCCATGGAGTGATACACTCTCCTCTGCAGCATTGGGCTACGGCTTAACCACTTGTTCTGCAAAGAAAAAGACAGAACTTGCCTCAGCACTGCTTGAAGTCATACCTCTATTAGCAATACAATGACATCTGCATTTACTGGTGTTCTCCTCACCCATGGCTAGAGATTGAAGGTGTATATACTTGTGTTATTCATTATGTTAAGCATGCATGTTGGTTACAACATCCACCAGCTATAACAGAATTTTAACATGTGGTTTACAGTTCTCACATTTAAAGTTATTAATATGAGGCTATTTCTTGCTCTGTTTTTCTGTTTAGCTGATGAGGATTCAAAGCCTGTTTTGTTTTGTTTTTTTTCTTTTCCTGCAGAATTCAGTAGCAAATCTTCCTTAAGCAAGACTATTAGATGATTCTTTTGTATACGGCACTAACATGTCTGTACCAACCAGCTCTGAGAGAGAAGAGAGATTCTTCTACCCTTCATTATTCAGAAGCTTATTTGGTCTTATCCTTGGGGAGTGAAGCAACAGGGAAAAATAATTTCTTAAAGGATCTTCTTAAATGATTTGTGCACTTGGTTTAACGCTCACACTTTATTTGCAGGCACTCACAAAGTAAAATCCTTTTGCATATTTTTCCTTCTGTTAACGATATTCAGGAATTCTACTATTTGTGGGGTGGAGGGAGGACACAAAAGAAGAGCAATTACAGCACAGTATTTTAAATGCAGGAAAGCAATTGCTTCTACTATGCTTACAGAAGCAACAACCTGGCAATCGACAAGATTAATTTATCTACAAGGAGGAAGTTAAAATCTGTGAGGAAATTCTTTGTGTTACACGTGCTAGTGCTTGTGGTAGCTCAAGAGTCTCTAATAACACAGCCTTTTAACCTCTGCAATATATAGCTATACATTTCAATGTGTAACAGTTGAGTATTAGGCATTAATGCTTGCATTAGTAGTCCAGTCTCTTAACACGAGACTATAGGCACCATCTGCTTTGCAAAGCCTGCCTGCATCCCCTGATTATATCTTCAGGTTCCTCCACTGCGGTGCCTGCCAGGTGAGCCGCTGCACGCTGCAAAGGCAGCGAAAGCGAGGGGCCTGGCGGGGTCATTTCTAATAAGGCAGTGTGTGCATGCTAATCAGTGGTGGGGAAGCAGAGGTCACCCCGGCCGGCTTGCTGGCAGGTAGCTGTGTGCTCTGTGGCAGATGGCAGGCATTATCGACTTGCCACAAAGGCCTCGCGCAGAAGCGAGCACGAGCGCTGAATGATGGAGTTATTGAGATTCTGTGCGAGATGCAAGCAGATGTGATGGTTTCCAGTACCCACCGTAAACAATATGCCAGCAGAATTTTTAAAAAGAGCATGTGTGTACAAACATGAAGCAGGCCTCATTTGAAGGAGGCAAACGCACGCTTTCTCCTTAACTCTTTATAAGTCAGGCTGGGCTTCTTGCAACCAGCACCATGCACTCGAGTTGCCACTGATATTTTGGGGTGCAACTTCCAAAGCCACATCAGCAGAAGCCACAGCAAAGGACATGCGACAGAGAGATAAGAGCTAAATGAGTGTCCCATTCACAAGCAAAATGAGATTGTTGCCTGTAATTACGGCGTGCCGAGGTTTGGGGGAGAATTGGCACTTGTGCAGTCAATGATCTGAATGTACCTCATAAAGGACGAGGTAGCTCTGTCAGGGTCTGCTTTCTGCTTCAGCACCCATTCGTATTACGCCTTAAAAGCCAGCAGGAGCCACAGCAATGTGTCTCTTGGCAGAATTTGGACCCACAGACAGCAACCAAAGGCCCTATCCTGTAATCAGAGAATTTACTCCCATGTAGGAGTAAACCAGGCTGTGCAACTCTGATTGCAAGCTTAGAACTTCTATTTCCTAATACTGGTGAGAGGGCATAACCATGCCCTAACCCACTGAAACAGTCACTGAGCCATGCTAACCTAATCAAAACAAATACATAATGTATGAAATAATCCCTAAAAGACATTTTAGATAGTTGGGTAATGAAATGATAGGCATCCTTGCAGTCAGCAGAATAAGGCACTGACAGGTAGTGCAGTTCTGAAAGTCTGAATATATATATATAAAATAATGAAAGAAAACAAAAAGCTTGTGTGTATGTAATTGAAAGCTGAAATGTGAAAGATAAGAAGCAGCCTTGTGACACTGGCTTTAAGTACATGCTGCTCAGGGCTGCTGGATTACAAACAAATGAACAAACAAAATAAATACTGGTAAGTAGAGGAGCTTAAAATACATTTATTCTAAGATTCTAAGCATTTAATCTAAAATGTTTCTAAAACGTATGGACATCAAAAACATAAAAATCAGGTTGTCCATTACTGTGTTAAAACCCCTTCAGTGCAAAGTAAATTTAAAACACTATCAACTCAAATGGACAGCATTTTAAACTTAAGAAGTGACAGCATGCATTTGATAAGAGACCTGTTTTAAACAAAAGATAGGAGAGAAGTGCATACAGCACAGATACCCACCTGCTTGGGATCATAGACCATGAGCCTGTTTTGATACTGTGCAGTATTTGTTACTCCTCCTATGAAAGAGTTTATACAGGTTACAAATTTTTTTTCACATAGGCAAAACCAGGACCAAGATGTGGTATAGTAAAACAACCCAATTGTAGGGTCCGTTTGCTGACAGGATTACATTGCATACCCCCAGTTACACTCACATGCCACTGCACCTTTGTCAACTGCAACTGTATTCCATATATCTTTGAAGGAAATTCTACATTTATCACATACATTCTGTACTGTAGAGCAAACATCTTCTGGCTTTGTCATAGTCTTACATTAAGACGTTCCTCCACAGTGATCAGAAACAATGCTAACCATCTGGCATATGAACTTCTCAATAATCTACAGAAAAAATGATATACCTCAGCACCTCAGGAAAATCCAGAATAGGGACTGGAGACACATCCTCACCTGGTCTTAGTGTGCCTCCACACTTAGGAATCCTCATTTTGTCGGAGCCCAGCTTCACCTCATGCAGTATTTTTGGAAGATAACACATAGCCTTTCCATGCTGTGTCACATAGTGCCCATCCCCCATCTGTACATTACACACAAGAACATGCTTTGGAAAGCAACAGTTGCTGAATTCACAGTGTTATCTGTCTCCATGCTGTTGTGCAGCCTTTGTTAGTGGCCATCAGCCACAACCACAAAATAATATTTTCTAATGCCTGAAATCTGATACCTTTACAAAGCTATTTTCACTCCCAATATTTAAAAATGGGATGTCACAAAATAAAATCCATAGTTGCTTGGATGGTTGCCTCCAGAATGTCACCCTACAGGAGGTACAACAGAAACACAATGCTGGGTCTCTTCTTCTGAAAGCACACCTCCATGTGGGGGGGAAAGATGTGGAGGAAGAAAAAGAATGGGGCTGCTTCCTTATAAAATAATGAAATAAGCAAAAGAGCAAAATTATTTTCCTCTCTTCACAAAGAGCCCCTCGTATCAAGTACATAGCTTACATTTTTTCCCTGCAATATTGCTCATCTGTGGTGTTTTATCATTACATTCCCTTCACATACCGCTCTTCACTTTTAGATTAATCTGCCAAAATGAGATGCTAAGGATTTGCATACAGATTTGACTACACAAAAATAGATCTGGAATTAATAACAGTCTCTATATGTTTTAATTTCTTCTAGACTGGAGTACCCTTGCCTCCAGCAGTATTCTTGGCTTTGAAAGTCATCAAGCTGATTTGTCTGCTCTTAGGTTATGATGCCACATGCTGCTACACTGTCCCCTGCAATCAAAGTGCTCGCAGAGATAGATTCCATGCCTTCCCCTAACAAGTATATTTTATAGATTGGCAGTTTTGATCTCCCCTCCCCAGGGGGATAATCTGCATCTTAACAGGTTTCTATAGATACATCTGTCATTAAATATGCCATCTTATATCTGCATCAATTTTCAAACTCGAGTTCCTCCTAACTTTGAAGTGCTATAGCAAAAGTTTAAAATTTTCTGCCAAAATTCAAATTTAACAAGTCTATAATGTCCTCTTGAACTATTCTTTTAAAAATACTCTAGGCAGTTGGGAAAGGGCATAAGATTAATATATCTCCTAAAAAATAGGATAAGGAATAACAAGTTTAAATGGTACTAAAAATAATACATACTTTCAAAAAAAAAAAACAAAAAAAAAACACTGGGGTAATTCTGAAATGATTTCTTAAACTGCCCTGCGTACTTTTTATGAGGAAGGAAGAAAGAAGTATGGTAATAACACTTGAAGAGTTGAAAATACAAACTATGCTATGAAAGCTGATGTTAGGCAATAGCAGCTAATGTGGTAGCAAATAAATTAAGGGAAGCGAAGAAAATGTCTGGCTGGTCCAACGACACCAAAATTTACAGCTCAGTCAGTGCTTAGTGGATTTTACAAAGCATTCTGGCACGAGCATCTTGCTCTGAGGACTAAAATCTCAGGAAGGCAAGGAGTGCCCTCAGGAGAAGCCTGTATCTTCCTTGTTCCTGCAGGATGGCAGTCATGAGAAGTCCAGCTTCCAGAAGTTGTTACAGGGCCACAACCACTGCTGCTCACTTCTTTTACATCGGGTGCTGCAAGGCAGGCCACAACCCCTGCTTTCTAAGCCCTCCAGAACCCTAAAATTCCCAGCACCACAGTGCCCCTTTGCATGAAGAAATTCTTAGAAGCTGGATGGGCCTTACCTTCCCTTTCCCCACATATGCAAAATATTTTGGTTTGTTACAGCACCCAAACAATCCACAAACTGCACTGAAAGACGCCTTAAATAAAGCCACCTCCGAGAAGGGTGGCAGGCAGGAGGTTTTGTACAATTTTCCCAATCAGACATTTATCATCCATATTTATATCGTGTCCTAGTAAGACCCCCATCTGACTTGAGAAATCTCACCCAATCCAAATCCCACAGAAAATCTCACCACTCTCTCTGAAAGTCCCCGGGTGCTAGGTTGTGCACATGAATCCCAGTTTGCTGGGAGATGTGTAAAACCACATGTTGGCAGAAAACTCCCCATGTGCACTCCTTCCAGCAAATACATGGAATATAACAAGCTCAGGAAGTGCGCCCTACGATGCTTGGCTGTTTTAAAATAGAAATCTCTCCTCTCTCTCCTGCCTCTGTGTTAAACAGGAGATCATGCAGACCTTCTATTCAGCCAGCACAGGTGCAGTGAGGGCAGTTGAGCTATGGCATCTTCCCCCACCCTCATGCACCCTTAAAGGCACCAATGGCAGCTCCAAGCTATGACAGTCCTCTCTGGATGCAAACTAGCTGTCAAACAAGAGGGGCACAAGCCCTACCTTCTCATACATATTTTTTAAATCATTACAAATTATAGAATTACAGAATGGTTTCTGTTGGAAGGGAGTTACATCAAGTTACAATCCCTCTGCTATATACATGGACACCTCCCTCTAGACCAGGTTGCTCAAAGCCCCATCCAGCCTGGCTTTGAATGCTTCCAGGGAGGGGGCATTTACAACCTCACTGGGCAACCTGTTCCAGTGTCTCACCACCCTCACAATAAAGAATTTCTTCCTAATATCTCATCTAAATCTATCCTCTTCCAGTTTAAAACCATTTCCTCTTGTCCTGGCCCTATATGCCCTTATAAGAAGTCCCTCCCCAGCTTTCCTGTAGAACCCCTTCAGGTACTGGAACACCACTATAATGTCCTCTTGGAGCTTTCTCTTCTCCAGGTTGAAGAGCCTCAGTTCTCTCGCCTCATAGGGGAGGTGCTCCAGCCTTCTGATCATCTTCATGGCCCTCCTCTAGACCTGCTCCAACAACTCTATGCCCTTCCTGTGCTGAGGGCTCCAGAACTGGACACAGTACTCCAGATAGGGTCTCACAAGAGCAGAGTAGAGGGGCAGAATAACCTCCCTCCACCAGCTGGTCACAGTTCTCTTGATACAACTCAGACTATGGTTGGCCTTCTGCACTGCAAGAGTGCACTGCTGGCTCATGTTGAGTCTTTCATCAACTGACACCCCCAAATCCTTCTTCTCAGGGCTGCTGTCAAGCCATTCTCTGTCCAGCCTGGGTGCTTACTTTCAATCTACAAAGAATTAATGACATCAGATCTATGTCTCTGCTTGAAAGCTGTGAGGTTTGAATTAGATGATCTTTGAGGTCCCTTCCAACACTAACCATTGTATGATTCTATGATTATCTTTATTAAAATATAATAATAATAAAAAAGAAACACTATCCCACATCCAGACTTAGACTGGGTCACAGAGACTATTTATCTTCTTATTAAGCCCCTATACATGGTATTTTCTGTGCCTGCTGCACCACAAAATTGGATTTGGTTAGATACTGTAGACTCCTATTTATTTCAGATCCATTTTTCATAAAACAGTATTACAGGGATTTACTGGGGAAAAAAAGATCTCCCCACAACATATAGCATACTAATAGTAATGTAATACTTTTCACTCCAAATCACTTAGAAATTCAATATTTCTCCAAGATACGTGATCTCCATAATTTCATTTGTTAAAATCTCACCATTAGGAAAAAAAACAAGTCTCAAAATTAAAAAAAAAAAAAAAACCACAACCTTTAATCTTGATTTTTGAAAGAAATGTTATTAAATATGAAGCAGTTGTAGGGGCTTGGCTATTTTTCTCCCACAGAACTGAGTTTTCCCATGCACATCAAAATGTGACTTCAGTCAGTAGCCTTCAGGTCAGGCAGCTCAGACCTCTGTGGAACAACAGGATGGTACTGGCTCTTGGTAGCACCTCCTGTGCTGCCTCCTGAGCACTTCACCAGGGGGGATAGACCCTCATCTCCCCTGCAGATGCAGAAGTGGCACTGAGCTGAGGGTCTGTTAGAGGTCCCCTCGTCTCTGCACAACCCAATCTGTACATGCAAGGCACCTAACGGGAGGAAAAAGGCTGACCCCTATAGAAAAGGAGGTCACCAGATTTGCATGCATCATGGAGGATGAAGAAAAAAAGAGGCACAGTTCAAGTTCTCACTGTTATGGAAAACGTTTCACTGCTTTTATAGGAAGTGATTGTTAGTAATGTTGAACTCCAAGGGGCTCAGTGCAGTTTGTGGCTCTTTCACTCAAATACTTCGCTTCGCTAGCATGTGGCACGCAGTGCGTTTGTGAAAGGGATCAGGGTGTCAGATGAGAACTGGAGCCTCTAAGACTCATCTTTCTGTAAAATTTCAAAGCCATCTGCCTGACGCTGTACTGTCAATGCAGAGAACTCACTTTAATGAATTATCATTCACTTTTTAAAATAAGAAGATAAAATTAAATAGAGGATCATTTAAAAAAAATAAAAAAAAAAAGATGAGAAAAAAAAGCACAAATATAAAAGGACGTTTCACAATATATGGAACTGAACCCACTTTTGCTGTCTAGAGAGTCAGGCTTGTTCCAAAGTGCACCAGTCCCAAGCCTTCAGGCCCAGAAGGGCCCAGAGGGATGGAGGCAGCTTGGCAGTCCCTGCATCCCTGCACCACCTATCTCCCAGCTCTTGCATGCTCTTGTGTCATGCACTTTGCTTATTGCCCTTCCCTTTCCTGCCACTGCCACCAAGATTTTAGTTTCTGTGAGTTTGGGTTCCTTTCTGTATTCCTCCCAAAGGAGGTGCAAAGTAATGCCAACTATGAATCCCAATAATGACAACAGAAAACACTTTAATTCTAGCCAGCCTTTGATTAGCAAAGCCGTAGAAGGAAGGGCTTGTAGCAAAGGTATTACTGTTTTGACTATTAATCATGTTTTGATGACTTTCTCCACAAATACAAGGTCTAAAAATTTATATTACTATTATATAACTTATTCACTTATTAAAAAGCTGGGCAGATTTTCATAATAGTTGTGCCAGCTAGTAGCATCAGACTGACTTTGAGAGCTCTGGTGATGACCTGAATTTCCCATAAAGCAGCAGGGATACTTCTCAGAAACATCCCTAACTCAGACTGATTTTTTAATCACATAATTTTAGATCAGATACTTAAAAATTAGGTTCCCTCCTGCATTACTGATTATTCTTACACTAACATATTATATTTGATGGTGGAACAGCAGGTCTTTTCATCAGCAACTACTGATATGTTAGCACAATAAAACATCTCCGTGTACCATTCCTCTGCCCCTGAATGCCCTTGAATATACATATATACTCCTCAGCAATCAATTAGTGGTAAAAAGCTAGTTATAGTTAAAACATCTCCATCTACCTTTATTTTAAAAATAACTATGTTAAGCAGATAAATTCCAGCTTTCAATTTGTGAGTACATAATTCAGATCAATATCCTCAGAAGTACTGCATTTCATAATCTATAGTAAACCACCAGAATTTAGCAACTCTAACAACCAAACAGTCCTATCTGGCTTACTCTGCTGCCAAAACTTCATACACCATTCTTTTTTATTACAGGACCTATGTTGCATTTTCAAATATACGTGGAACAATACTGGTAAAATTTGTTTTGTTTTTGCCATTTGTTAGCAGTTGATCTAATAGGCTTCTATGACTTCTTCCCTCTGATTCTGCAAGTGTATTAAATATGTAACCTTGAACACAATATCACAGTGCTACATTATATAAATCCCAGCAGCATCTGAACACACAGGCATGCACATATTCCACTTCCATAACTAAACACATTAATTAATCCCAGCATAATATAATAGAATCATAGAATGGTTTGGGCTGGAAGGGATGTTTCAGAGCATGTAGTTCCAACCCCGTGCTATAGGCAGGGACACCTCCCTCTAGACCAGGTTGCTCAAAGCCCCATCCAGCCTGGTCTTGAACACTGCCAGGGGGTATCCACTGTTCCAGTGTCTCACCATCCTCACAGTAAAAAGTTTCTTCCTAATACCTCATCTAAATCTACCCTCTTCCAGTTTAAAACCATTTCCCCTCATCCTCTTGCTACACACCCTCATAAAAAGTCCCTCTCCAGTTTTCCTATAAAACACTTTCAGGTACTGGAAGACCTCTATAATGTCCCCCCATTTTCTCTAGGCTGAAGAGCCCTTGCTCTCTCAGCCTGCCCCCTTAAGGGAAGTGCTCCAGCCCTCTGGTCATCTTCATAGCCCTCCTCTGGACCTGCTTCAACAACTCCATGTCCTGCTTGTATTGGGGGCTCCAGAACTGGATACAGTACTTCAGGTGGAGTCTCACAAGAACAGAGTATTAGGGCAGAAGGACCTCCCTTGACCTGCTGGTCACACTTCTCTTCATGCAACCCAGGATACAGTTGGCCTTCTGAACTGCAAGAGTGCACTGCTGGCTCATGTTGAGTCTTTCATCAACTGACACTCCCAAATCCTTCTTCTCAGGGCTGCTTTCAAGCCATTCTCCATCCAGCCTGTACTTGTGCTTGGGATTGCCCTGACCCAGGTGCAGGATCTTGCACTTGGCCTTGTTGAACTACATGAGGTTGGCATGGACCTACCTCTCAAGACTGTCCATGTCCTTCTGGATAGCATCCCTTCCCTCTAGCTTGTCCACTGCACAGCTCAGCTTGGTATTATCTGCAAACTTGCTGTGGGTGCACTTGCTCCCACAGTCCATGTTGTCTACAAAAATGTTAAATAACTCTGGACCCAGCACCAATCCCTGAGGAATGCCACTCATCACCAGTCTCTACTCAGACACTGAGCTGCTAACCACAAGTCCCTGAGTACAACCTTCCAGCCAATTCCTTATCCAGAGATGTCCAACCATCAAATCCAATTTTTCTCCAATTTTGTGACCACGATGTCACGTGGGACAGTGTCAAGTACTTTACACAAGTCCAGGCAGATTATGTCAGTTGCTCTTCCTTTATCCACTGACACTGTAACTCCATCATAAAAGGCTGCCAAGTTTTTCAAGCATGACTTGCCCTAGATGAAATTATGTTGATTGCCACCAGTTACCTCATCTTTATTTTCCATGTGCCTTAGGGCCTTCTGGAGGATCTGCTCCATGATCTACCAGGCCCAAAAGTGTGACTGACTGACCTGTAGATCCCTGCATCTTCTTTTTTCCCTTTCTTAAAAATGAATGTTATGTTTCCCCTTTTCTAATCAGTGGGAACTTCATCAGACTACCATGAACTTCACCAAACTGCCATGAATATTCCCTTTTCTAGCACAGCTGGAAAAATTAAAAGCAGTCTAGAGCCTACATCACGTTTGCCTTAAAAATCTCTAGCAAACAGGGTAGAGATTGCTTGTTTGTAATTTTAGTCCGGAAAAAAACAATGATTAAAAAAAAAATCATTCTTTTTCATGTACTAGAGCAAGGACCACACTCTGACAAGTACTTCTAGAGCTCTTTCAGGGACTTCACACAGATATGTTATAAACAATTTCCTAAAAAGTGCTGTTTGTCAAAAATAGAAACTGTCAACCGAAAACAGTAAGAGGAAGGCAAATAAATAAATAAATAAATAAATAAATAAATAAATAAATGAATGAATGAATGAATAAAGAAAGAAAGAAAGAAAGAAAGAAAGAAAGAAAGAAAGAAAGAAAGAAAGATATAGTAGAACTAGCACCTTCATGCTTTGTCTTGCCCATCACATGCACTCATCTCTTTCCACTGATGGAACAGGGGAAGTAATGAATAAACAGGGGAAGGCTCTGAACACACCATGTTGATTCCCAACATCAAAAATCCTTTTTCTTGTACCATACCTGACTCTTAAAGCAGACCATGTGCACACTTAACACACAACACTATCTGTACAAAACTTTTTCAAAGTTAACTGTTGCAGAAAGAGACCCGGAGTGCCTGCCAGGCATCTCTGTGACTCATGACGTTCTCTCATGCCATTCTTTCCAAACGTATCAGTCATGATTTCAGTGTGTATGTATGAAAATAGGTGTCCGTTACTTCTCCCTCCCGACAGAGCTAGGAGATATAATCCTGTGAATTATTTAACTTGTAAGGGCAGAAAGATAGATCCACAAGGAGCTCCACTAACCTCAATGGCATATGTTGACAAGCACAATGAAGGCTTAATGAGCTTAATTAATCATTTGTTCACGCATCATCTATACACCATAGGAATCTCAAATCACACCAAAATCCTCAGAGGCTATCTATAGTTAAGACATTAGTCGCTGAACATTTTCTTCAAGGGTTGGTCCTACCTATTCATTGAAATACATAACATTATCAGCTTCCATGACACAATTTTTACTGAATGGTGCTTCCATTTTGCCTCTTGTGCCTTCTACAGACAGCATCAACCTTGTTCCAAAGCAAGTGATACCAGAAAAGTCACTACAAGGACTGATGGCACGATGTCCTCAAATCCCGTCAATGAGTACATGTACAACAAAAAGCCTATCAGACTGAGTTGCAAATGATATGTTAGTTTACAATTACAAGGCCTATACTTTCATCTGCCTGTGCCATAGTGCTATGATTACATCCAGCCAGTCCTGTGCACTTGTTATTGACAGTCAGAGTTACACAGGATTTCTAATGAAGGTTGCTGTGGCCTGTTAATATATCTTCAAGAGAAAGAAGGAGGAGTTCAATCACCTGCCTTTGAGCCCTGCAGCTACACAAGCCAACAAGCATTTAATTCCCGATTGCAGGAATAAACACAGTAGTACCTGATCATACTACAGAAAGTAGGTTTTGCTTTCTTGTTTTTCAGCAAGCACACAGAATTTGTAATTCAAAACTTGTCAAAAAGTGCATTATCGTTATGATTCACTGTGATTTATGGATGGTGATTGGAAGTAGTGTACACAATATATGCAACTTGAAATCACACAATCACAGAATGACTTTGGTTGGAAGGGATCTTAAAGATCATTCAATTCCAACTCTCTGCTGTGAACACAGTTGTCATCCATCAGATAGCAGCCCAGGGCCCCATCCAACCTGCCGGGAACACCTGCAGGGACAGAACAACCACAACTTCTCTGGGCAGCCCGTGCCAGTGCCTTATCACCCTCCAAGTAAAATCAGTAATATCTAATGTAAATCTCCCCTCTTTTAGTTTAAATCATCCCTCTCTTGTCCTATTACCATCTGCCTGTGTAAAAAGTTATTTTCTTTTCTGTTTATAAGCTCCCTTTCGTATTAAGTAGGCAGCTGTGTTCTACCCCTATATCTCTAATCAGGCTTCATTACATGCTTCCATTCTGAAGTTCTTTAAAATACTCACTCCTAAGACAAAAATTATCCTGCCAATAAAACCAAAGATGATTTAGCAGTCATTCAAGACTGCATTTTGATATCTTGTTAGTACCTCAAACTGTGAGAAACGTTTCTACCTGATATCCAAAGAAGACCATCCACCACGTATCCTGCATGGCATGAAAGCGATCGGTCAAACGACTGTACAAAGGTCCACTTGTTCTTCTTGGGACAATAGCGTTCTACAGTAGGTAGGACTTGACGCAACTCATTTCTGCCTCCTACTGCATATAGGTATTCGTCCACTGCTCCGAGCACAAAGTGCTCCCGGCAGTTCTTCATGGGAGCTATCTCTGCCCAGGAGTTGGTTCGGGGGTCATAGCGACAGGCAGTCCTCACGGCACAGGTGCGTCCCGTGGAGTGCTCAGCTTCCCCACCCGCCACAAACAGAAAGTCTCCCATGACAGCAACGCAGTGGTGGCTTCTCCCCATGGGCATTGGTGCAAGCTCACTCCAGTTCGCGATCCCTGCAATGTGAACATTCTCCTGATCGACCGGGTTGAAGTAGCGCAGTTCCTTCACTTTACAGATTTCACGCTTTTTTCCACCAATAATGTAAAGAGTGTCTGACTGGAAGCGGGGTTTTGTCCTTCTGGTTTGCCAAACTGGCTGTGCATAGATGCTCTGGTGGTAAGCCAAGGCCTCATTAACAAGCGCTGTTGCAGTTTCACTAGCTTGGACGAGAGGATGAGAAAGAGCTACAGCATGCAGTGTATCCACATCCATAAGGCCAAAGCGGACATACTGGAGAAGTTCATCCATGTACTGGTAGTGGCAGTTGTGCTCCAACCACCTTACAGCCAACTGGAAGTAGGGAGAAGGAAGGGAAAAACAAAATACCAATTATTCGGATATAATTCTGCCAAAGTTTGGTCTTTAAAATCTGTGTTTTCATTCCAAGTAGAGCTACATACTTGCCTCAACAGCGATATCAGTCCATACAAAAAGTAGTCATGAATGAATGTGAGTCAACATAGAAGATACGTACTAAATATCCGCCTATATTACACATAAAAACATTGTATTGCATCATTCCCCAAAAGAATTTCCACAGTATTATCAGATTGTAATACCACTATATGCAATATTCCTACAGTTAGTGATGCTATAGGAGAGCACAGTCTGGGATCAAGCTGCTGAAGCAGTAATACAAATATAGGGACTATGTGACAATAGGTCCACTAGAAAGAAAAGCAAGATTCCAGTTAGATGATTAGAAAAGAAACACAACACTCTCTTCCCTCTACCTTTAATTCAATTTATGAGGAAAAAAAAAAAAAAGATAATAGATTTTTCAATTTTTCTTCCTGCTTCATTTATTTTATTAAAAATAATTGAGAGAAGTGTAAAATGGCCAGAGAGGAGTAGAGATGAGGTTCTGCTGGTTTGAGACTGGGAGAAAGAGGAGAGAAAGACTCTGAAACTGATCAGCAATTACAGGTGGCATCAACAGCCAAAACGACACACAGACTTGAATTTACATAAAGCATATTCAATCCATCCAGGTCTGAAAAGAGGCTAGAAAGGGCCTAAACCATTTCAAGAAATGTGCACATAATTCTTGAAAATCTCCAGTGGTGAAAACACCCTTATTTCCACAGGAAAACTGCCCCTCATACTCAGCTATCTTCTTGGGCAGATCTTCCTTTTAATTGTGATGGAATTCTACACCTTCCAACTCACTTGCCTCAGTTTCCTTTTTTGGGTTTGTACCCCAGAGCCTAGGAACCACCAGTCCAGCCCTTGAGTTTGATTATCACTGCCTCCCATCCGTAAAAGATGAAAAACCGCTTCCATTTTGGGTTGCAGTAGTAGAGAACAGATTGAAAAGATCATGGACTGTACCAGTCTATGCCATTCTTGTTTGTATATTGTTACATGAGACCATTAATATATTGCTGACCTATGCACTAATGACACTGCTGACATACTACTATTCCCATCTTTTTCCCCAAAGAACTTCCACAAAGTGTCACACTTTCACTGTCATTACTAATTCTACTGTTTACTTCAAGTCACTGTTCCAGTCTGCCAACAATATTCCCAATCGTAATTTTATTTACAAAAGTGCTTGTAGGCCATTCCATCTTCTGATTGTCTGAAAACACAAAAACCTTGTTATTATATTCTTAAGTCATTCATAAAGACAATGGATGGTTCTAGATAAGGACAGGCTCCTTTGCTTGATTTTTTTCCACATCCTGACAACTCTTGGATGGAGAGCTGTCAGCTAGTCATGCATAACAGCAGTTTCATCTAAAACTCACCGTCCTGTAGTGCTCATGTAGAAGTCACATGAAAAAAACTGGAAAGAAAGACTTCTGTCTTACTAAAGACCTTCATATAAATACAATATATCAACATTATTGCTGCTTCTGTATTCTGTCAAAGAGGGAAGGTGACAGACTAAAACCACCTTCTTATTAAGATTAATTTGAAATGTTTTTTTCTCCACTGTTCTACTCAACCCCTGTGAAACAAAGAATCAATGAAGGGCATCAGTAGTTGCAACAGTAGTTTAGTGAGTTAAGTGCTGAATTGAGCTTCAAAATGCGCATTACCTCTATGTGTTTAGGCCTGAAGATAAAAGGAAGTTAATTACATACACTTAAAAGTGTTTATGGATTTGAAATCATTGAGGTTTATATTTGAATGTTCTAAACCCACCAAATCTACATATCTGGTGTGTCCTATTGAGAGGTTTTGGTTAACTCCCTACCCTACATTATTCTTCAAAGTCTTCAGAGGCACTTGTATTTCCTAATTGACCAGACATTTGAATTTCACCAGAATTCAGGCTATCTTCATTATAACAAAGACAACAAGTGAGTTCACCCTGCCTGAATGATTTGTGGGTTGTTATGTTAAAGAAGAATTCATATCTCCCCTATGAGGACAGGCTAAGAAAGCTGGGGCTGTCCAACCTGGTGAACAGAAGGCTCCAGGGAGGCTTGATAATAGCCTTTCAGTATCTAAAGAGGGGTTATAGGAAAGAAGGGGACAGACTCTTCAGCAGGGTCTGTTGTAATAAGATAAGAGGAAAGGGTTTCAAACTACAAGAGCGGATCCTTCAAAAGCAGCACCTAAGGGTACTTTTGGTCTACACTACTTTCACGTCTCTTTTTTGATGAGCAACTGCAACAGGAGAATGAAGTGCATCTTGGGTTGTATTTCCTGTACAGGAGCTACTGGCCATCACTCAGTATCACTCAGTCTTAGCAGAGGAGTAGTGTAGTAAATTGCAGTAATTTATGAGGCAGGATTAAGAACCCTGCACATCACTGTATCGCCAGGACATTCTGCAGGCATTTGACAATCAGCAGAGAAGCTCTCTTGGGTCTTAGGGAAGCAACTGAGATGTGGGAATCACAATCTGTTCAGAATCACTTGTCCAGACTAACTCAAGCTACTGCTGAACACAATTTGACTGTAGTGGATGCCGTATTTCTGTGACCAACACCTAATTCCTGGTATGCCAAGGCACAGAAAATCTGGTACGTGCTAAAAGCAATACTGTTTTTATGTCTTTGTCTTGCTAATGATAACAATGACTGCTACTTGACTTTAAATTCCATAATCTCTATTTGAGACACTCCTTAAAAAATAATTACGCTGTATTAAAGCTACAGATGTAGGTATTTATATGTATTTTTCAGAGAACACATGACAATCTCCTAGGTTGTGACACAGGGCTATGAAGCTGGTTATATGGATTTAGGGGAACTCACAAAACGAGCCTTAGATTCATACATTTCTGATGCAGCGTGCATTGTTACAGTGCTCTCTAGCAGAATGTGCTGTCTCACACCATGGAGCATGGAAGAAAACTGAGTTATCTGTGAAGTGAACTGACACTCTAGTCAGTGGATGGTTTGACAGCTATTGGAAAGCTGAAGGGGGAGAAGATCAGAAGAAAGAAAATTAAATTTCCAAACAAGTCTTTTGCATGTAGAAGAAATAGTCACTGATGGACTGTAATACAGTTCTAAATTTCCTTTACTGTAAAGGAGGCAAAAGTAAATTGTACACATAGTGGAAACAGAAATTTACACATAATATATCAGCAAACACCTGTATATTTATCAATGTAAGTTCTATCTTTACTAAGTATTTGTTTAATTCAGTCTTAGAAGTCTGGTGCCTTCAAGGAAACTCAAAATTAACCCCATCTATGCACTATTTATGGTGTCCATTTTTCAGCCTATCAGGCAGCATTGATTAGCAACTACAATCAGGACTGGCAAAACAAACTCAAAGCCATTATACACTGTATGACACTGCAAGGAGAGACATTCGAACTTCTCTAAGGAGGTACCAATAGCACTTGAAATTACATCTATGTTTAAAGCGCAAACAAGCAAGGAAGTGAAAACAAAGAGACTGTCCACAATTTGGAATTTTAAAATATTCGTATCGCTGCTAAATAATTTACAAAAATAAGGAAAGACTCCTACTGCTAGTATCATATAGGCAAATTCTGTTTAAACTGTTAGAAGCTTCTTTTCCTATTAATTTTAATGCATGAGTGTGTGTAAAAAGGAAGCTACAGCCAAGTACCTATATTAACTTTAATAAATAATATATTTTGCCATATTCGTCTTCTAAACTAAGTAAATGACAAAAGTAGACTCTCAGAAGGACAGGATTTTCAAGCCAGATTAATTTTCTTATTCTGAAGCCTTTACCCAGAGGATTTTTCTGTTCCAAGGTTATATTATTTGATGCAGCAATGGAGTACATTCTGAAAACATCAGGAAACATGGAAAACGTACTGTGTGCAGTTGCAGTATACATCTAAATGTACCTTCATGTTGGACTGTGGTTCCACTGTATGTACAATGGCAGCTTCTGCTTCCAGCATAGTGCTTCAACATCCTGACTCACACAGGAACTCAGCCCTTCCCTCTCTGCCATTATGATCTATGTACCATATATATACCACAGCTGGAGAAGGCAAAGGGGCAGTGCAGGTTAAAGCTGAATTAGGAACTTCACCCCTGTTGAAGACATCCCTGCAATGGATAGCTATTAGGTTTTTTTGGGCTGCCAATTACAGCTTTGATTCAAGGGAGATGCTGAACAGGCAAGGCTACAGTGCAAAGTTTGACGTACTCGTTAGAACCAAGTTCATTTGGAAACTTTAAATCACAAAGTCAGCAACAGGGAAAGTTTGTTTCTACAGAGAAAGGGCTCCTTGGACTCCTTTCTCAAGAGGTCTTGGGAAGTCCATTAAAGTCATCTGTGTCTGATCTTCAGCCGATGTATTCACATCAGAGACCCAAAGACTGCAAAGGAATTATGTTAGCTTACACCATCTATGGTTCCTAATAACTGAGATGAAACAAACAAGTGGTGGAAAAACTGAGCTGTTTTTCTTTTTTCTAGCAACAATTGAACAGAAATGTACATATATATAAGTTTCTAAAAAATGAATTTCCACTTTCTCAGTAAAACAAGTGGAAATCTTATGTAAAATAACATAGCAAACAATCTCATTTTAGGAGAAAGGATAATTTTAAATATAGAAACAAAAGTGGAAGGAAGTATTCTCCTGGAGTGCGACCAGATATATTCAACACCAATTACCAGCTTTCTGCATGATAATCTGATGATGATATATATCAGGCGAAGAAGGATAAGAAAGTAAACCGAAAAGCACCCACAAGTCTCTAATTTCAACATAGATGTCACCTGAATGGTCTTTCTGTTGCTTAAGAACAGAAAAAGAAAAAAAAAAAGCCAGAAGAATAAATCAAATTCATATCTTATTAACATTAATATGTTGGCCAGTGCTACAGATCTGA